GATAATTTTGGCTCCAAACTCATAAAATTTAGTATCTTTTTTTCTGAGAACATTTCCAAAAATCAATCAATTGATTTAAAATACAGAAATATCCAACATAAGAAAAGTATAATTATTTACACTCATTATTTGGTTCAAACACAGCGGCTCATTTCTGCGCTCCCGAGGAAGATGAAGTTTCTTCTCACTGTAATTTTAGGAAATGTAAAAATATAAGATCTAATACACCTTTATTGCACTAATAGCTTCTTCATTCTTCTTGTACTTCCCTCTTTCCCTCAGTAAAGCATGGTTGTAAACTGCTCCGTCATGTGATGTTAGATATGTTTTCCGGGTCACAGTGTTATGAGATAATGATATAACAATGTCACGAGAAACCCGATCACTAACACGGACAAACAATGAATTTATTCACGTCCTCATAAAGACAGGTTTGTTTTTCACCCCGACTGTTTCACCACAAATCTGAGGAACAATCTGAACATGAAATACTTGCTGGCAAAACCTCAAACTATAATCCTGGATCAGGTCCATTTTGTTTTATCTTTTGCTGTTTTGGATGTGTCTGGATTTATCATTAACTGGTTCAGTGCCTGTTTTCATAAGTGCAAATATACAGGCAAACAGACTGACAAGAAACATCCATGCAACGATGAAACTCAGCCGTTAAAGGAACAAATCAGAGAGGATAACAAAATAATATTTAATGAAAGGTCTGCTGAATCAACAGGCGTGATCAGAGTCCCTCTATGACTGAATATTTTCTGAGCAGAGTTATTTTTGTATTTCCCATGATCATCAGAAGAAAAAAAACAGTTCATGGATCAGTTTGTTCTTCATTTTCCAGGGTCGGACGGCGCTGAGGTTCATATCTTGATTGGTGTCTCTCTCTTATTTTTCAGGTTCATTGTTCGAGGAGCGGTGAGGCGATGCAGACGGCGATGACTGAGGTCCACCTCCAGACGTGAGTCAGTCTTTCAAACATTATGACTTCATGAACCTGAAGCAGAAACAACCATTGTTTCACTTTCCTCCGCCTCTTATCTTATCGAATCACAACACATTACATACAATGACCTATACACACACACACACACATGAACACACACACAGACGCTTTATGATAACCTGCAGACTGGCTCATGTATGGTTACATGACCTTACATACATAAACACACACATTACACAAAGTCCCACAGAGCAGCACACACACTCTGACACTCAGTCTTGTTCCTGATACAGTCCAGGTTTTCAGAGGTTTTCAAAACGCCACTCTATAGCCACAAATAATGCTCAGAACAGCACCTAACTTCATCAACAGGACATATAGGGTCACAGACATAGTACTATATTCAGAGTTGTTCTAACTCCTAAGAAAACACAAACTTGAGCGGGGGCGTTTCTCCACTTCTGTAGTCTATAAGCTGGGCCGAGAAACTTCTACTGTAGTAAAATGAAAAGGTAAAGGTGTTTTTATTATTGAGCTGAATTATCAATAAAATCATGATTTTGTTAACAAGTATGAAAATATGTGCTGTTGAGTTAGTATATTTGAACAAGAGCACAGTAAAGTTAAATCAGCTAATTTTCCAATGAGGTTCTGTTACTGAACGGAACGACACCATGATCTACTCAGGTTAGTACATATAGGGTCACAGACATAGTACTAGACACCAAACATCTTTGTAACTTTGACTCATTTCTTTAGCAAAGAGACTAAACACAACTCACCTACTCTCTTCCAGCAGCCGCTCATTTGGGCCAGTCCATTACAGACTACAGCGGGGTGCCGCAGCTCAAGGAAGAACATTTATGATCATTTCTTTATCGTTTCCTTGAAGTAATAATCACTATATTGATCTTCATATTGCAGTAGTTCTTCTGTCTTAGCGTCTCGGTCTGATTGTATTTCCATGAAGAAATGATCATAAATGTTCTTCCTTGAGCTGCGGCACCCCGCTGTAGTCTGTAATGGACTGGCAAAAGGTCTCCGTACAAACAAACGACTGGAATTTCGTGTTTCTTTTAATAGTACGACAAATTTGCTCTTTTAAACAGATTCACTCTCTGCTGATGTGACAATCTGAGCAAATCTCAAACGAATTCTCGTGTTACTTTAATAACAGGCCACCCAGAGCGGCCTGTAGTCCCATATGGGGATTATTTCAACACACATTAACCCTGTAATCTGAAACTTTGCTCATATACAGTATTTTAATTTAGCATGTTCTCAAAGTATGAAAAAAAACGCCGCCTCTTTAAACAAAGTCAGACATGAACCTTCAAACTTCAGCGGTTCTCTGAGGACGTGGAGTCTGGACCGAATGTTTCCTCTCAGAACAAACACACACCGACACACAAACAGGACATAACACCACCGCCTGTGAATCTCACAGATTGCAGATCTCGACGCTCAATACTGTGAAGGAAAACTGTAATTCACTGGAGCAGTTTCAGCTCCACATGGACACAGGCCTGTTTATAGCTGTAATCAGCAGGAATAAATCCACTCCTTCTCTTTGGAGGTTTCTGATGATTCTGTTCTGCAGACGCAGGACTGAGCTGGTTTCTGCGGATTATCACGAATAAAACAGGAGGAGGGGCCAAACCCAGGGAGAGGCGGGGCTTAGATAGATCGATTTTTTTTTTATTGTATCATGCGTACGTACAATACTTCAACTCAAAGACCAAAAAATTCTTAGTTTCAGCTTCACCGTTCTTCCTTAAATCTACAATTCAGATTTTTCCTGATGTGAGTTTTAAATTTTAAAAGATTTAGAAAAACTAAACTAACAATATCATGAAGAATGCTGGAGTGGTCGTCTCTGTTTTCAGATATTTTTGAGGATAAAACGAGCTGAAAGGATTGAAGTGAGCGTCATAACTCGGACCCGTCCATACTCGCTCTCTTCTTCGTCCCTCGGCTCCTGCACTTGAAGCAGAAATAAATCTGAATGTGAATATCTGAAGAAAGTAAGAGCACAGTCATCCCCTCCGTGCCCGAGGCCTTTCTGTATCTTTACCTGGTGATAAATCAGAATAATAATCAGGGGAGCTGCTGCTGGTAATAACCGCCAAGGTCTCTGGTGAGCTGATATATATATGGAGCTACAGCAGAGGTGACCAGTGGAGCTGAAAGGGCGAGAGACAATGAGCCGTCACAGAGAAAGAGAGAGAGAGAGAGAGAGAGAGAGTTATGTCCTCTCTTATCTCCGGGACGTAAAGGCATGTGTGAGCACCTCTCCTCTGATTCTTATCACATGTGAGCGGTTAATCACACGTGTGCAGTAAACTTTTACATAAGCCCCGCCCCCACACTCTGTCCTGTCTCTGTGTGTTTGTGTGTGTGTCCACCCTCATGAGGAAGGGAAAGTTCACACACACACACACACACACACACACACACACACACACAGCCAACAGCGTGTCCTTCAAAGTGGCGCTCTGAGCAGGACTGTACATCAGGACGGAGCAGAAGGTGACTTTGTGTTGGCGGCGTCCCAGACCGGCTCCATCATCGGGTCTGAATAAGGCGCACATTAAATCCCAGTTTACAGCTCGTCACTGAACGACTGTTCTCCACGGGAACATCACCTCGTTTGTAGTCATGGCAACAGGTATAAAAAAATGACGTAGAGATGCTTCACCGACACCTTTACCTGGCAGCTGTTTGATGGTTTCACACCGTTTAGACGCTAAAGCGAGCCGTCAGCCATCTTCAGAATAACTGCTGACTCTTAAAGGTGGTGTAGTCAGGAATCTGTTAAAGAAGCATCTTTTTATTTTAGTGTATTTACAAAAGATCTTCTAATATCAGTCAATAGTTATTAGTTATTGATTATTTGGTAATATATCGATATCTCTGTGTTCTCTTATGTCTGTGTCGTCAACATTTGAACATTTTTGAGCGGTCCGCTCTTTCTGACTGTAAACAAAGCCGTTCTCCACCTCCTCTAACCTGATTGGTTGTGAGGCAGACGCTGCTCCCCCGTGTCGTTCAGGAGCCCAAACAAAGTTAGCGTGCTACAATATCGGACAGTAGAAACCAACCAGAAAGTTCGGAAAATTGTCTGAATCCTCCTTTGGCCACGACTGCCGACACAAGCAAGAAAACAAAGTAAATACCGGAGACTCTGGAGGAATAACGGGCGCTTAAAACGGAGGTAGACCGGACAAGAGCTAAAAAGCCGGGTCAACATAAACCATGGGGGACGCTTGGGGATCTTGGTGACCCTGTAACCTTTCTGCTGGACAGGTAAACCGCTTTAACAAAGTAAGACAAGTGTCTGTAACAGAAGTGTTTCTTGTCAAACGGACCTGCTGTAGCGTGTTGTAGCGCCATCGCTAAACTGTCCTCCCTCGGGTCCTGGACTATGTCACTTTATCCTCGTTGTAGAAGTCCTGCAAACATTGTGTTTGCTGGTAGTCTGTTGGCATCTACAGTAGCACCAATGCTTTTGACTTTCACCTTGACTGGGCCCCATTTGTAATGATCTGAAGTATTTATCTGCATTATATCTGAATTTAATTGGAACGATACGAGCGAGCAGGAGCGTCTGTTTGTGGGCGGGGCTTGAGGGGAGAGGAGGAGCTGAGGGGAAAACTGGTTGGGAGGGGTCGAGTTTACATTCAAGATTTCTGCTAAAAACTGGAACTAACTCAGATCCTGCCTAACAAACCTTTAAGATATTTTTAAATTTGGTCGATCGTCAGATTTTGCAGTTAAACTCCTGTTTTCACTGTTTTCAGATTTTCTCTCTTCTTAAAGTTTGGTTAAAGTTTTGTGTCTGTTGACTCATTTTCATTTAAACTACTACATCTCAGCAGTTTCACGTTGTTTTCAAAACCTGAAGGAAGTGATGGGAGGAAACTCAAGAATAAAGTGAATTCAAGAATAAAAAAAAGACAGTCTCTTCTCTGCGACTCATTTCCATTTAAAAAGGTCTCTCCATCTTATTTCTGCTCACAGGAGCCAAACAAACAAACAATAAGAGGCAAAGTTTTGAATGCATAATTTATTTCTCACCGACATCTGAACAAACACACATCATGAAGCCCCGTACCTCCTCTCACACCCACAACTGAAGCAAAAGTAGACAGAGCAGCGTGTCGGCAGAAACCAGGATCTGAAAAAGTCCAAAAACCGTCCCAGACAAAAAGCTCACGTGCAAAGATGTTCGGATCACTTCAACCTTCAGCTGCTTTTTCATCTTTTATATCGATCTGACTGGCACTGATTGAAACCATGAACTTAGTTTTTTAAGATCTGGACACGAAGCAGAAGACTGCGTGAAATGGTGACGCCGCCGTCTGCGAAGACAGACTCGGTCATGAAAACTGAGAGTCGGAGTCATGAGGGTCAGACGGGATTTAAGGGGGTCAAAAAAGGAACCTCAACTCTGAGCAGGACAGGAGACAGGTTATTTACTCTCCGTACAGGACTTATAGGAACATGTTTCAGAAGTTTAGAAGTGAAGTTTAAGAGTCTCTCCTCACCGGTAAGTGAATCAGCCGCAGTGAGATGAGAAACAGGACGCTAGGTGTGAGGTTTTACTGAGAACAGGGTCAAGTTCACCAGGTAACTGAGCCCAAGACTCACACCCAAGAACTCTTCTTTATTTAACTCCTCAGAAGATTTCCTTCCTCAGGTCAGCAGGTTCATTTTTAAAACTCGTCTTAAAACCCATTTTTATTCATTGGCTTTTAACCCTGCATGAGACTCGGCTCCTGTTTTAGTGTTTTATGGTTTGTTTTTTAGTTATTTGTTTCTATGTTTTTAAATTAGTTTTTAAAAACATTGAAACTATATTTTATTATTAATTCTGCTTTTATTTTAGCCATTGTTTTAATTGTTTATTTTTAATTGTTTGTTTTAAAGTGCTCTACAAATAAAGTTGAGTTGAGTTGAGTTTCAACTAAAGAGACGAAAATAGAGTTTACCCGTCCTCTGAGCTCCTGTGTTACCTGCAGGTTCAGGTGTGTTCACTATGAGTCACCGCCTTCATGCAGACGAGCGCTTACGTGTGTTAGATTTGCGAAAAGTGCTGAAATGTCTGAGTGAAGTCGATCATAACAGAGATGAGAGTTCAGGTTGAAGTCGCTCAAATTTGACCTCAATGATGTTGCTGAGTCGCAAACCCGACATCCTGTTTCTGTTGACCCTTTTTCAGCAAAGGGGCGGAGCTTACCAACACTCACTGTGGCTGAGACGTTTACCAGAACGATAACAAAGTTTAACCGTCTGATTTTAAATCTGTTTCTGAGTTTTCAGTCCCCAAACTTCATAAGTTTGTCTCTGCTCCTTTAAAGAGTTTTTACTCTGAATCAGGTGATTTAATCAGCAGGTTCAAAGGTCAGCTGTATTTTCATGAAGATTTAAAGGACAATTTAAAAGAGTGAATATTTCCTTAAACTGTTCAAACAGTCGGGAAATTTGGCTTTTTAGGATCGGAGGATCGGAGTGTTTGTTTGATACCGGAATCAGGAAAACAAACTCATGAAGGGAGAAATAAAGAAAATCAAGTTAAACCTGAAAAACAAAAACACTTTAGAGAAGATGTGAGACCATGACAGCAGAAAGGCATCAGTCTGAGTGAATGTAAACAGTCTCAGCCTCGATAAAGCGCTGAACTTGAACACCTGCAGCATGCACTCACATTAAAGAGGTTTCATCACAACACCTCCTGAAGTACTCCTGCAGACCGTCAGAGCATGCAGAGCTGCAGGAGAAGGACTCTGTTCGGGGCGCTCCGATAAAGAAGAATCGTTCTGCTGTAAGAAGGAAAATAAAACAGAGACAGAGAGACAGAGACAAAGAGAGAGAGAGAGAGAGAGAGAGAGAGAGAGAGAGAGTGAGAGAGACAGACAGAGAGAGACAGTAGGAGAGGAGACGTGTCTCAGTGTGAGCACAGTTAGCTGAGGTACTTCAGAAGACGGCTCCAATAAAACAGGACAGACACGTCGGAGCATCACAAGCTTTTAAATGTTTGGACCTTTAATCTACAACCACTTTAACTCCTGAGGTCGACTCTGAGGGTCCAACTCAAGTCCAGGGTCCATGCGGTCTCCTCTCAGACCACTCAGACATGCAGGGTCCACTTAAAAACCACCAAAGAACTCCTGACACTGTTAACGCTCAGGATGTTAACAGGAACAGGCGTTAAATATAGAGCGTATTCACGGGTTTCAGTCACATGACTGCAGACGCCATCTTTAGGACTCTGGGTTGGCGGTTTCAGTGAAAATCGCTGTTTTAAAAGTCAAAGATCCGAGTCTTTGGATAATCTATGGAGGTTAAATTACATGATCAGTTTAAGTCATGGTTGATGATTGTAGAGATTGTTAATTATTATGAACCTCGTTTCTATGGCGATCACGGTCCTAAAGTGTGATCTCCACAAAGTGAAGAGAAAAAAGAAATCAGAAAAAATCTGTTCACCTGAGCAGGTGCAGGGCCGCAAAAACGTTCACACCCCTCTCCCGTAGTTCTGACTCATCCCCTCCCTCTCTCACGGCCCTCCTCGGAGCTCTGAGCGGCTAAAAGTAGCGTAGCAGCTTAGCTACAGGAGCTGTGATGGAGAACGACGCAAAAAAAAATAAACACACTTCTGCTCGCCACACCGCCAAAAGTGGTAAAACGCAAAAGGGCGGGGTCGAGGTCATTTTTATCTCCTTTTATCGTGGCTCATGTTACATAAATAACTCTGATTAGTCTCTGACATGTCAACACGGTGGCTGTCCAGGCAGCTGCAGACGGCGCTCGCTAGCAGAGCTGGTGTTTACCGCCGCTAGTCACTAACAATCCGACATGGTGAATCCTATTTGAAGCTAGCGTAGGATCTTCTGCCAGAGGGGGTGTGTCGTGGGGAGGGCAATACAGGTTCAGGGGGCGGAGTTATGGTGGAACACAGAGGGGAGAGGTTTGTGTGTGGGGGGGGCGGGACAATTTTCTCAATTCTGCCTAAAAGTCCTAAAGATGGCGCTGTGACTGCTGTACGCTCTCAGGGTCTACAGGTTTTTGAAGACGCTCTGATCATCAGAAACCTCAGTGATAAAAACACGGATCTGTTGTTGGTCTGAGAAGTCCTCCGTGGTCCACCTGACCCAGAACCGTCCTTTTATTCTGAACAGGACCTCTCAGCAGAACCTGACCCTCAGTCTGAACTTCTGCTCCTCAAACATCACGCCGCCGCTCCTCTGTTCATCGATCTCACGCCTGTTCCGACTCCTCAGTTCCTCGCTAAAACCAGCTGGTTTCAGCCCGTCAGGCGCCATCAGGCGCCGTGAGCGTCAGGAGCCGCTCTGAGCCAATCGAACGCCTCGCTCTGACGTTCAGGTCACTTCTTCACGCTGAGGATGGTCATCTGCAGACACTCCTCCTTCAGAGCCGCCAGCTCAGTCTTGTAGCTGCTGGTCTTACCTCCCTCAGCGTACACATACGGCTGCTTCTTTGCTGACAGTGGCGTTTCCATAGTGACCGAGCCGGCGTTCAGTATGTCGGCGTGTGACGGTGAGGAAGAGGAGCGTCTGTGACAGGCTGCTGACAGCAGAGCAGAGAGAGCTCGACCCACGTCGTGCCGCGCCCCCTCGTTCACGAAACAGTACAGGATCGGGTCCGCCACGCAGTTGAGGCTGGTCAGCGCTAAAGACACGTGGTACGCCGCGAACAAGCTCTCCTCTGCGCCGCAGTCACATGGTTTCCTCAGAAACATGACGCTCCGCACCAGGAGGAGGATGTGGTACGGCCCGAAGCACAGCAGGACGATCAGGATGAGACTCAACGCCAGGCGCTGGATTTTGGCCTTTTCCTGACGCTCCGTGGAGACGTTGCAGCGCACCGCCGCTAAGATCCCGCGGTAAGCCACGAGCATGGCGGTCCACGGAGCCAGGAAGCCCAGAAAAGTCCTGTAGAGGTTCATCCCCGCCACCCAGTCCTGCATGGGGTACTTCTCAAAACAGAAGGTGTGATTGAAGCGATCCTGGAAGAGCTCGTCGTGGAAGAGAGGGGCGGAGTTAGCGATGATCTCGATGATCCACACCATGGCGCTGACCAGGACGGCTGCAGAGCGAGAAAGAGAGAGAGAGAGGGAGGGAGGGAGAGAGAGCAAGAGAGGGAGAGAGAGAGAGAGAAAGAGAGAAGGAGAGAGAGCGAGAGAAGGAGAGAGGGTCAGTTACCCGCTCAGAATAAATAATAATAATAATAATAATAATAATAATAATAATAATAATAATAATAATATAAAGGTTCATTTACTGGCTAAGAAATAAAAAAAATATATAATTTTTTTTAAAATAAATAATCATTATTATAATGATAATAATGATAATAACAATAACAATAATTAATTAAAAATTAAAAATAAGAAATAATAAAAATGAAATAATAGTAATTATTATAATAATAATAATATGAGAAATGTTCATTTATCCACTAAGAATAAATAATAATTATTATTATTATGATACTACTACTACTACTACAAATAATAATAGTTATTATAATTTAAAAAAATAACATAAAAAATAAAATAATAATATATTTTATTTATAAGTGCCTTTCAGGACACTGAAGGACACCTTACATAACATTTGATTATAATCTATACAGTCTTGGAAGCTGTTCAAAATGTTGAACTCAATGATATGAAAACCATTTAAAATCTTTTTTTTAATTTAAAAAGGTGCAAAAACTAAAAATTCTAAAGTTGAAACGGAGAAAAAAATGCTGACTTTGGATTTTAGAAAAGTTTGGCTGAACAACAAAACTCTAAAAAGTTGTGTAACATCCACAGAAGCTGAGGAAACCCAGGAGGCTGTTCTCTGGAGTGGAAATCACCACATGAGCTCAAACCGAGTCTGTGAACAGAGTTTATTTTTACACCCATAACTGCAGATTAAACTGAACGAAGCCTGCAGTCCTGACTTGTTACCCAACCACCAGATTCTGGTAGGGCTGGGTGATACGGCCTCAAATCAATATTAGGATATATTGATCAGTTCACCTCGATAACGATAAATAGACGATAACTTCTCCACCAGCTGCTCCCCCCCTCCCACATTAACTTCGTCGACTTCAGCCGCTCCAACTTCTGAACCGTCCTCCATCTCCTCACCTGTCTTTCCCTCTTTGTTACGGACCGGATGGGGCGGAGTCACGTCTCTGATGTAGGACAGCGTCTTAAAGGGACATGAGACCATAGCCTACCTACACACATCCAAAAACAACTTTGATTGATTTATTTTTTAACACTGAATGTACCGATATGAGCAAAATTACGTCGGTTATTGTCGTAAATTTCAGTATCTGTAAATTTTCGGTTTATCACTGAGCTCTAGATTCTGTATTTTTCACTGTTTTATAAACATCTCAGCTCTGATAGGTTGTAAATGCTTCTCATAAATATTAAAAAAACATGTGATAGAGACTGAAGAAAACGACGGATGTCCTTCAACAGTAATTCTGAATTTTACCCATGAGACTGACGATCACTGAAGCACAGAGTTTCCATCCAGTAAAAGTCTAAATGTTTGTTTTCTTGTTTTATGATCTGGTACGAGAACTTATCTTCGAGCAGACGTTCATGTTTCTGCTGGTTTTAAAGGTTTTAGTGGATATTAAAAAGATTTATTCTCAGTGTCCTCTTGTGTCAGGACCCTACAGATGATCTCCCCTCAGAGATCAAAACCTTAGAGAAACAGAAAAAACAAGTTTCTTCTTCTTCCTCACGTTACGAGTTTTATCAGAAGTGCTGAAAACTCAGTTACACTCCTTTCACTGGACTTTTTTGGGATCATCAAACTCCGAGTATCCTGGTGGATCTGTTCACGCGTACCTGTCTTGATTCGTCGAACTTTGGCGAACCGTAGAGGATAAGCCACCGCCAGGTACCTGTCCAGAGAAATACAGCAGAGGAAGGCGATGCTGACGTAGATGTTGGTGTAGAAGATGAAGCCGAAGAGTTTGCAGCTCTCCTGCCCGTGGATCCAGTCATCGTGTTGGAGAAAGTAGTCGATCCACAGAGGAAGAGTGCTGATGTAGAGGAGGTCCGCCACCGACAGGTTGATCAGGTAGATGCCGAGCTCGTTACGCTGGCGGACCTGCAGAGAGAGAGAGAGAGAGAGAGAGAGAGAGGGAGAGAGAGAGAGAGAGAGGGATGAAGAACAGGAGGAGGAGGAGGTGAGAGAGGAGGTCGGAGTGAGGAGAAGGAGGCGGGATGAACGAGGTCGACTCAGGGACGATAAAAAATGAGTTTGTGAAGAAAACTAAATTAAACACTAATATATACGTCGCTCCACGTCACCGGATCAGAACCACACAGGAGGTTTTTAGTGGACTCAGTACAGATTCACTCTGAACCAGAACTACATGGAGACAGAGGAGGAGGTTTTACTGGTTCAGTCTCTCCTCCATTCAGGATCTGATCTGACAGTATCGGAGTAAAAACCAGCGGCTGGCACACGTCTCTGTTTCCCATGCTATGAAGATGTTAATATTTAGGCAGAACCGCCCTTCATAAATAAACATGGCGCTGACTGGGTTCATGGTTCTGATTCAGGTCATTTGGTGGCGTTTAATGATTACAGTACAGCCGGAGTTACCTTAGAGGATAACCTCAGCTCACCTGTGTGACAGAGCTCACCTGAGCTGACGGGAACCTCCCGCGGTTAAAGAAAACAAACAGAAGCCTGAGCGGCGGCGGCGGCGGCGTCCTGACTGTCAAATAAACAAGCGTCACATGCTGAACTGTCACTCACTCCTTAATGATGATCTCACTGCGATCAAAAGTCAATAACAATCTTTTCAGCAGCTGCCAAAGCAAACGGAGAGTCTGTGGGAAACACTGACCACGTCTGGGAAAAACTCTGCTGACTCGACTGTACGACGACGACGTCAGCTGATCATCAAATATGGAGGTCTGTGATCATCATCAGAGAGTCCAGAGAGGAGGACCAACATGGACCAGGACACGGGTCTGAGCAGAACCACCGAGTCTTTGAACGGGGGATCCGGAGTTCATCAGAGTGTTTGTTTGGGTTTGTTGGTGTGAGTGAAGATTATAGAGCTGCCACAAACCATTGATCGGATTAATCGACACGATTATTTTCACGATTAATCGATTAATCAGATCGTATATTTTTAACTTTTGCATTATTGTGTATAATCTCAATGGGACCGACCCGGTTAAATAAAGGTTAAAAGCTGCTGTTTTACCAACTGAAATAACCTCCATCTGAAAATGTTGAAGCGTATGTGATCACGAAAAAAGAAGACGATTAAGACGGTCGTTCATTTCACATCCCTGCAGCTAATAAGCCAACCAGCGTACCGACAGTCCTTCTCCAGCCTCCTCACCGTCAGCTAACCCGACATGTTTTGGTGCATGGTAGTCACACTTCCCCGCTATAATTTCAGTAAAATCCTCTCAAACACTGGAGCGTCACGTCCTGCTCGCCATTGTTACTGAGTTGTCGTGACGTCAGACGCCGACTTCTATGAGCTCTACTGCACATGTGCGTCCGGGACAAAACACACACAGCGGAGGATATGAGAGGAGGGAGCCGCGGGACTTTAGAGCGAAAAACAAAGCAGAAAAAAAACTAAGATAGTTGTCGACCATTTTGATTGTTGAACTTTGATTGATTGACTGAATAATCGTGGCAGCCCAAGTGAAGAATATACAGAAGTATCAGGATCACCATGACGTGGGTTCCCATCCTCGGGTCCAGACCCCGCCTAGTGAAGAGGACGGGTGTGAGGCTTAGTCTGCGAGGAGGCTGACACATTTACACAGTTTTAGGGGTGGACTTGGGCAGCACAGGAGTGGAAAATTTCCAGAAACTTTCCACGGGAAGAGACAGTGGGGAATTTTGGAAATGTTCCAAATTAGAAACTTTCCACAGGAACTTATGGGAATTAACTGGAAACTGGGGGTAATTAAAACAATCTGTGTCATATCCAAAGACAAATATAATGCTTCAGTAAGCCCCGCCCACAAACAGTTGCTCCTGCTCGCTCGTATCGTTCCAATTAAATTCAGATATAATGCAGATAAATACTTCAGATCATTACAAATGGGGCCCAGTCAAGGTGAAAGTCAAAAGCATTGGTGCTACTGTAGATGCCAACAGACTACCAGCAAACACAATGTTTGCAGGACTTCTACAACGAGGATAAAGTGACATAGTCCAGGACCCGAGGGAGGACAGTTTAGCGATGGCGCTACAACACGCTACAGCAGGTCCGTTTGACAAGAAACACTTCTGTTACAGACACTTGTCTTACTTTGTTAAAGCGGTTTACCTGTCCAGCAGAAAGGTTACAGGGTCACCAAGATCCCCAAGCGTCCCCCATCGTTTATGTTGACCCGGCTTTTTAGCTCTTGTCCGGTCTACCTCCGTTTTAAGCGCCCGTTATTCCTCCAGAGTCTCCGGTATTTACTTTGTTTTCTTGCTTGTGTCGGCAGTCGTGGCCAAAGGAGGATTCGGACAATTTTCCGAACTTTCTGGTTGGTTTCTACTGTCCGATATTGTAGCACGCTAACTTTGTTTGGGCTCCTGAACGACACGGGGGAGCAGCATTTTCTTGTTGACTGTTTTCTTGTTGACTGTTTTCTTGTTGACTGTTTTCTTTTTGACCGGTTTGGTGTTGACTGTTTTCTTGTTGACTGTTATCTTGCTGACTGTTTTCTTGTTGACTGTTTTTTGTTGAGTGTTTTGGTGTTGACTGTTTATGGTTGACTGTTTTCTTGTTGACTGTTTTGGTGTTGACTGTTTATGGTTGACTGTTTTCTTGTTGACTGTTTTGGTGTTGACTGTTTATGGTTGACTGTTTTCTTGCTGACTGTTTTCTTGCTGACTGTTTTTTGTTGACTGTTTTTTGTTGACTGTTTTGGTGTTGACTGTTTTTTGTTGACTGTTTATGGTTGACTGTTTTCTTGCTGACTGTTTTATGTTGACTGTTTTGGTGTTGACCGTTTTCCTGTTGACCGGTTTGGTGTTGACTGTTTTCTTGCTGACTGTTTATGTTTGACTGTTTTCTTGCTTGTGTCGGCAGTCGTGGCCAAAGGAGGATTCAGACAATTTTCCGAACTTTCTGGTTGGTTTCTACTGTCCGATATTGTAGCACGCTAACTTTGTTTGGGCTCCTGAACGACACGGGGGAGCAGCGTCTGCCTCACAACCAATCAGGTTAGAGGAGGTGGAGAACGGCTTTGTTTACAGTCAGAAAGAGCGGACCGCTCAAAAATGTTCAAATGTTGACGACACAGACATAAGAGAACACAGAGATATCGATATATTACCAAATGTCATCAATAACTAATAACTATTGACTGATTTTAGAAGAGTTTTGTTTATATAATCACAAAATAAAAAGACTCTTCTTTAACAGGTTCCTGTCTACTTCACCTTTAAGACTCTTTCAGCTTCAGGAAGTAATCTGAACCCGGGCCAGCTCAGTTTGAAACCGCTGTGTTAGAGTTACTGGTTATTGGCAGGTCGGTGTGTGTGTGTGTGTGTGTGTGTGTGTGTGTGTGTGTGTGTGTGTGTGTGTGTGTGTGTGTGTCTCACCTGCATGTAGGCCGCCCACAGCGCCATGCAGTTGGTGGGCAGCCCCAGGACGATGACGATGATGTAGAGCGTGGGCTGGAAGAACTGGTCCACCTTACTGTCCACATCACAGAAGGAGATGTTGCACATGGTCCTGCGTGAAGCGCTCCGAGTGTGTGGCGGCGTCCCTCAGCTCTGAGTGTCCCTCAGCAGATCCACTACTTTCCAGCTCCAACAGTTTGACCACAACATGCCGACATCGGCGTCCCGCTCGGCTAACTCACGTCCGTGTGACACAGAGCTACACAGGAACACAGGAGTGTCATTTCCAGAGTATTTCATGGTTCCCGTTCAGAGGACGGTCCTCCACACCCCGGGTTGAGTCATAATCCTCCCCCATGCTTTAGAGGCGTCCCCCACATCCCTCGGCGTGGAGGAAAAGAGGAGAAGAAAGGAGGAGAGAGGGATAAAATGTGGTGAAATGAAAGCTGCCTTATCGACGCTGTGCCAGGCCTCCTGTGCCCGGACTGAACCTCATCAATCTTTTAGAGATTAGAGGTCTGCCAGGTTTACTGCAACCAGGAGGAGGAGAAGGAGGAGAGAGAGAGTGTGTGTGTGTGTGTGTGTGTGTGTGTGGGGGGGGGGGGGGGGTCTCAAGGTCCTGATGACACACTAAACTCCTGAGGGATGCTCGCACTAAAAACAGAGATGACTTTACAGAGCTTCAGCACTCTGGAGCCGACCGACGACGGGCCGTCCATCTACTCCGGACCTCTGAACATCTGAAACACAGAGAAGGACAAAGACCAGTCAGCTGTTATCACTTCTTAGAGAAGAAGAACAAAGGGGAAAAAAGTGAGGAGGTGGTTAATGTGAATAACTGAGGAGGGAACTTTCACATGATCAATAAAATTATGATTTTGTTAACAGGTATGGATTTATGTGCTGTCGAGTTAGTATATTTGAACAAGAGCACAGTAAAGTTAAATTAGCTAATTTTCCAATGAGATTCTGTTACTAAACTGAACTACACCATGATCTACTCAGGTTAGTACATATAGGGTCACAGACATAGTACTAGACACCAAACATCTTTTTAACTTTGACTCATTTCTTTAGAGACTAAACACAACTCACCCACTCTCTTCCAGCAGACGCTTGTTTCGGACTACAGCGGGGTGCCACAGCTCAAGAAGAACATTTATGATCATTTCTTCATGGAAATACAATCAGACCGAGATGCTAAGACAGAAGAACTACTGCAATATGAAGATCAATATGATGATTATTACTTCAAGGAAATGATAAAGAAATGATCATAAATGTTCTTCCTTGAGCTGCGGCACCCCGCTGTAGTCCATAATGGACTGGCCTGAGGTCTCTCTACAAACGTCTGCTGGAAGAGAGTAGGTGAGTTGTGTTTAGTCTCTTTGCTAAAGAAAAGAGTCAAAGTTAAAAAGATGTTTTCCTGCCCTCAGAGTTCTTCTGTAGGTTGAAGCTCATTTACGTTTTTCAGCTTTAACAGGATTCATTCAAATATTTCTCACCAATGAGCTCAGACTGAAATCACGAACGAACACGTTAATTCGGTCCTCTGTGGACAAACATCATTTCTCCAAAGTCAGCTCATTTCTACGGTGATCCAGTTTTTTGGTTGAAAGGTCAGCTGGACTTGTTCGAAGAATGTAACATGACCTGAACTCAGACATTTCTGTGGTGACTTTCTTCAGCTTCGCTCCTTCGTAATATTAATCATCATTGAGGTCAATAAGTCCAGAAATCAGACATGCAGATAAGTGTTAATAATTTTTTTAACTTTTACTGTTTCAAATCTCTTCAACGACTTCAATCCTGACCTCTTAAATAAAAAATTCTATATTTTACACTATATTTGTTGTTCACCACGTCTCTGTTATTGTCCATGATAAACAGATGAAGAAGAACACGCTGCCGTTTTTAGTGAATAACATCACTGAGTTAGTTTACGGAGGTCAAGAGTCACATTCAGTGGTCAGGTTACGATGAGAGCGCCCTCTGCTGGATTATATAGCAGGTCACTTCAGACGGTCTGATTCTCCGGTAAACTGAATTATTATGAGTGTGAGAAGCTAAAGCAGAAACACATAAACTCTATAAATGAGAATTAAATCGAACACAATCAACTAAACCGACGCCTCGACCACAGACTTCTTCTTCTTCTGCTGTTTTTGTTTATTTCAGTCTATCATCCAAAACCACAGAGAGTCATCAGTGAGGAACCAGAGGCTGAGATGTGGCTTTTTATCTTTGACTCCTGCAGGACTGATTTAACTAAAAATCACCACAGTGATTTTTTTAATTTTTTTATGAGAAGCATCAGAAAAACTTTCAGTCTCACTTTTCTCCAAGAACGTGATCATCATAAAAACAGTCGAACCTCTTCAGGCTGTGCTTTGTTAAAGGGCGGGTCGTAACGATTGATGTGAAAAAACCACAGAGTGACATGGGAGTGTTTTTAACGCCGCTGTTATCTTTGCCCACGCCGTCACCAGAAATGTGGTTTGTTCTGTCAATTACTGATGCTTATCATGCAGCTGCGTTCGCGTGCGACGAGTCGACACGCAACTCTCTGTAGGTTTCTGTGTGTCAGTATGGATGAGCTGGGCTGTGTGTGTGTGTGTGTGTGTGTGTGTGTGTCTGTGTGTGTGTGTCTGTGTGTGTGTTTTTAATTGAGCTCTGGGGAGGTTCCTTCACGCTGTCAAATCACTTAGCAGAAACTCTCAGGCTCCTCAGCGTCGAACCCTCAGCCTGTGTCAGAGCACAGACGACCTCCGTGTTACACAACCTTTACTGACGAAGCCGCAGAGGGCGGGGCCGCCAGGGACTCGCCGTCATTTCACCTGAAAACCAGTCAGAACAAACGATCTCAAACTAAAGTCAGAGTTCAAGTTAGTCTGAACTTTTGAAGTCCTGATACCCAGACCCGGGTTTTAGTACCAACATGATTCTGAGCATGGGGCATCTTAGTGGGGGGGCGTGTCCAGGACTCTGCGGTTTAATGGTCGTTCACGTCAAACACACTATGTTCTATGAGAGCGTTCAATCATGACGACGAAGTTTAGAGTCACGGGACAGAAAAGTCTGATGGACGTGAAAATGAGAAAAACGTGTTTGTGTGTTTGTATGTTGTAGAAAGTGTATGTACACGCCTGCTTTGACCTAATCTCCTCTGGCAGCAGATCAGACAGAACAGGCTGATATAGGCCCCTATTGTACACACACACACACACACACACACACACACACACACACACACACACACACACACACACACACACACACACACACACACACACACACACACAGCCTAATCCTTCATTACTAATAAACCTTTTGACCTCCGTCGTCCTGCTGTGAGTTGTGATCTTACAGCTCGAGTCGATCTCAGCAGGTCGTCTCCTTATGTAACTCAGAAACACTTTTAAAACTCTGGAGTCACAGTTTCAGTAACGAGTCCTTTAAACGACTCGTTATGATTTTATATCTCGGTTTTAAAGACATTATTTCACAGAAATATCAGAGTAAAGCGCTGCAGAGATAACGGTCCTGCTGCAGGTCAGGTGTCAGGTCATGTGACAGGTGTGTTAATGAGCCGTGCATTTACACTTTGATGATTTTAACTGATGGTGAAGATGTTTTGAAATCGTCGGCTGAAGAAGCGGACAGAAATTGAGCCAGTGACAAAGGGCTCCATAAATCTAATGTTAATTATTCACATTATTTCATTTTGATGTTTTATTACCTCTAAATAAATTAAATATCAGTCAGAGCTGAAAATGTTCTTCACTTCCTTATTATGACGGCTGATCAATGAGGACGATCACCTGTTTGATCTGAGAGCAGCAGGATAAAGAATCAAGAAGAATCTAAAAAATATATTATAACTCAATGAACAATGAGACACTGAAGACATTCTCCGACACTTCAGGACCTTCTGTCCTCGGTTCTGTAAATAGTTCTGAACCAGAACTATTAGGACCGGAAGAAGACGACGCAAACAAGAGGCTGACCTGCTTCACAGAGACGAACATCAGACTCAGATAGAGAGTCTTTATTCTGAGGAAGTGTGTGTGTGTGTGTGTGTGTGTGTGTGTGTGTGTGTGTGTGTTTGTGTGTGTGTTTGTGTGTGTGTGTGTTTGTGTGTGTGTGTGTGTGTGTGTGTGTGTGTGTGTGTGTGTGTGTGTGTTTGTGTGTGAAATAGAGGAAACACATTTTTAGCCCTCAGATCTCGTCCCCCTCACTTCTCCTTCAGACTCTTTAAAAGTTTTATTTTCGTTTTGTCGAATTTTTCTAATTTCAGAGAGAAAATAAACTCTACAAACTTTTTAAAGAGTTTCTTTTTAAACTTTTTTAAACTCTCCAGTGAGTTTCCTGACTAACTCCTAACATCAGTTTGTTTGACTGTTTTTCCTGCTGATTTAAAACCATCTAAAACGTCGTTACTCTGACTTTGTCGAGCTCTCAGGTGTCCTGAGTGAAACCGTTGACAAATCGTTCCCACCTAAACCGTCAGATCCACTTTAACCAGACCGAGTCGTTTGGGTTTACAGACCAAACCGGACGGTTGAGCTGCTGGTTTGGGTCAAAATAATGAGTCAAGGTTTGGTTTCACACAGAACACGTGTCCGTGTCCTCTGAGGGTAAACCTGGTGAACCAAACAGCCTCATCAAACTCCTCCTGCAGGTTCAGGAGTCACAGTTGGACAAACTTAGACTTGGTAAAATTTCTGTCTTTTTTAGTCATTTTTGATTGAAAACGTTTCAGTCAACAAATTTAACCCATTCAGACCTGAGCCCTGTCTGAGACTCTGAAACCCTGAAGAATGTTGAGAAATGACGTACACACGTCTCCCGGCTCGGACAGTTGAGATGCGTACATGCTGTCCCGGTTTAAATTAAGTTAAAGATTTTAGTCTCTCTTTTCCATTTAATGAAAAGTCACAGTATTTGTTTGGTAAATACTTCATCTCCTGATTTTCTCTGACATGTCTTCAGACCGGGATAAACTGAAGCTCTGTTACGGTGATAATGAGGTAAGGGGGGCTTCGGAAAACTTCAGCTGGTTTTACCTGTTAGTTTATAAATGAAAATAAGAGAGAAGCATCGAGGCAGAGAGGATTTCAACCAGCGCCCGACACACCTGCTGCAGGTACAAGTCAGCGGTCTCGGCCCGCTCCTCGTACGGAGAAACTGTTTCAGAGTCTAGACGAAGATTTAAGGTCATAATTTTATTCATGAACCTGAAACTAAAAACTCCTCTCGTGACTCCTCTTTATAGTCTGTAGTCACAGTTCAGTTTAATGAAGGTGGTTCTGTTCTGTTCTGTTCTGTTCTGGAGGCCCGTTCGGGTCCTTCCTCTACATTTCCTGTGCCGTTTCTCTCTGACAGCGAGGAGTCAGGGGTCAACTGGGGGTCAGCAGCACAGAGATGCAGAAGGCCAGCAGGGACCTGCCTGAGTGTGTGTGTGTGTGTGTGTGTGTGTGTGTGTGTTTTTGTGGCTGTTTGCCAAACATTCTTGTTGACAGTCAAACAGCAGGAACAGGAAGACGGTAATGTTACACCATCGAACATGTCAACAACACACTACACAACTGGGTCACAGCCAGGACACACACATCATAAACACACACACACACACACACCTGTCTAACAGAGCGCCCTCGCCGCCCTCAGTCAGTCAGTCTCGGAGGTTGTGATCCTCCTCTCCGGCGGGCAGACGTCTGCTCCTCCTCAGTTTAAAGGAATATTCCGCTCTTTTTAAAGCTCCACATCTGTTCCTCTCACTGCAGAGACCCCCGGGTTCAGACCGGCCTGAATATTTCGGAGCCCGGGGCCGACTGACTCCAGTCTGATTTTTCGTGTTTGGCTTTTTGACCGCGCCGCGATTACAGCATCGCTGACATCTGAGCGCCGACCCCAGGAGTGTCATCAGACCCTCGCCACGTTTTCTTTGGCTCAGACCTCAGTGGAAACATGTCCCTCTCTGTATGTTTGTTCTCCGTTTGTTTAGATCCAGTATGTGACATTTCAAATAAACCAGACTCAGGTCCCCAGAGGTCAGAGTTAACTCTTTGTCGGCCGCTCAGATTTGGATGTTTTTGAAAGAGCGTGAACGTCTCGCCGTTTTTAACTCCTTTAATCAGAATCAGATCAGAATCAGACGAGGTTTTATTGCCATTGTCAATATTCGCTCTGATATTCCCTGAGGGTCTTTTCTAAAGGATTTCCTGCTGCGGTCTGAGGAGCAGAGAGACTCTGAAGTCCAGATCCAAAGCTGATCTGCGGTCTACAGCTGAACAGGGACGCAGGATTATCTCAATTTGTCGGTTTGTTCTGGTTGGAGAAAGTCCAGGATCAGATTTTTGATGTTTCTGGAGTTTCTCTTCTTCCTGCTCCTGTTCGAACCCTGGACTCTGAGCGCTCACTTAAACAGGAGATCAGATTATGCAGCCTTGAGCTATGAGTGTGTGTGTGTGTGTGTGTGTGTGTAACATCAGTTCCTGTATTAGAGGGGCCCTGTGGAGGAGGACATTCGTTCCTCTTTTCTTCAGTTCTCTGTTTCTGTCGGTCGTCTCAAACTCACTTTTACTTCATATAAAGATTCATGATCCTTAAAATCATATAAACATTAAATATTAAATAATAATCATTATAATAATTATCCTCGCAGATGTTACTCTGCTGTCAGCCTCTCTCTCTCTCTCTCTCTCTCTCTCTGACTGATGTTGGTTTTTAGTCTCCTTCTTCATCCTGTTTCTCTGTTTTTTTTTTAACTTACTGCCTGTGATGGTGTTTCATCTTTCTTTCTCTCTCTCTTTAAACTGTAACTCGAGACGATTCTCGAGTGTGGTGGGGCCCCGAGCAGAAATTCTCAAGGGGCCCCTGTGACAAGTTAAAAAAAATAAGATAAACAAGAAAATATAAATGATCTGAAACCAACAAAAGAGGTTAGAAACAGAAACTTTTATCATTACCACTACGTAACTTTGCTCTAAAATATCTACAGCTCTGGTTTGTTTTTATCACAATAACCAGAACTTCACTCTTGTTCTAACCGCCATCTCCTACTGGATCCGTTTGTGAGGCGAATTTTGTGGCAGATTAGTGGGAATTATGAGAACTTTCAAGAACCAGCGGATTCATGTTCAATCTAACGAATCGTCCCTCTAAAGACAGACACATAGACATATAAGCAGTAGATTGCATCCCTTAGCATCTCCTCATCCATGGTGTCATCGGGGTGAAATGACGTCTAAAAACCTTTCACTTGTTCGTCTCCGCCCGTTTGCATGGTGTGAAATACGATCCTCCTGAAACACGGAGTGTTTTATTTTGAAAAGAAGCCGGATGTTTTATTTTGTGTCTGTGCCCGACTTCCTTTCCAGCACGGGTTAATCTGTGCTGAATTTATCCGCAGAGGAACGGAAAGAAGTCGGTGTAAATTGACACGTTAACTTGAATGGTTACGATCAGCTACGATCGGAGGATACGACCTTTTAGTCGACGATCAGGAAGAGGTGGAAATCCGGGGTAAGACTTAAGCTAGTTAAGCCACAACTTTCATTAATAGCGTTTCATTAACAGTTAACGGTTCACGTTTGGCTGTTTTTTTCCTTGCAAATCAGAGTTGCAATGTATACTCTCTCTCTCTCTCTCTCTCTCTCTCTCTCTCTCTTCTCTCTCTCTGTGTGGCTTCATTTCTCACGCTACGTCCTTATTGGTGTTCGGCGACCATTTCTTCCGGTCGGCGGACTCCGGCATTTAAACTTGGAATCTAAATTTTAAAATTTAAAAGATTCGGGGAGAATCTGAATGTTAGTCCCGCTCCACATTGAGTCTTGATTCTCGATCCCCGACCCTATTCAGGACATTTTTGTGGAGTAAGGTTCGTGAGCCCTTGGAGGCCCCCTAGTGGCCTGGGGCTCCGAACAACTGCCCGCCTTACCTGTTGACAAACTCCGGCTCTGCCTGTAACTTTGATTTTTCTTGACATTTTTGAAGGTTTAATATAACAGTGATAGGAGACACTGTTAAAGCTCTGATAGGACATCACAGAAGGAAACAGAGGACCTAGGAGAGGACCTAAGGGAACACCACAGGAGCACAAATGAACTGCAGCCGTTATTTATCCACTGACTGAAACTGTCCACCAATGAGGAGATGATGTTTTTTTCATGCTCTGTGGACCAAATTACAGACGGGTCTACAGCAGACGGTTTTATTAGTTTCCCAGTTAATCAGATTTAGAAAAACAAAAATCCACTTCCTGATTTAAATGAATTTCAGGACACTGACCCCGACCCGACAGCAGCTATTAAAACATATAGTACACACCAGAGACCCAGACCCGGCTTCATTCCCACCGCTGATGGATGGAGCAGGTTCCTGTTGGTCACAGCGACAAGCTCCGCCCCTCCAGCAGTAAACAAGATATATGACAGCGACAAGCTCCGCCCCTCCAGCAGTAAACAAGATATATGAACGCTGACTGTCCGAGACATCCACAGTGTTAAAGGACGAGCTCCCAAAGTCAGAGGAGTCGAACCAAAAATACACGAGTAGACCGTCACCGTTTGAGCTTTAATACTAATTTATAGTTTGACCTCCTGAGGAACATCACTAACCTGACAGTGGCGATGGCGTTCATAAGAAAAGCAGCGTGTAACAGGATAAAGCAAAGATGTCTTCACGCCAAATACAACTCTTTAATCATAGGTCTCAGTTGCATCGTCCACTGTTGCATTTTTTGATCTCATATCTGAGGGACACGTGTGAACAGACAGCGATGGGAGAGCTCCTCTGAAGGTCAGATAATAGACTCTTCAGATAAACTCCAAGTGTTTGTATGATAACGTTTGTTTCTGCAACATTCAGGCTCTGATATCCATAATTCAAAGGAACGTCTTCAGCCCACAAATTAGCCGATAATCTGTTTATAAAACAAACGATGATCAACTCCACACAGTTTAACCATAAGAGCTTCTCCGAGATGGAAACCAGATCCACCAGAGGATATTCAATTATCATTTTGGGAGATAATGTTGGTTTTATCCCACAAAGCTCAGATCAGCCGGCAGATAACAACAGGATCAGGAAGCGGGACCATAATCACGTCCGTATCCGCCGCATGTGCAGCGAACACAGACGTAAAAACGCCGAACATTCGTCTGTGATTCTGCCGAGGAAAATCAGATTCAGTCGACAGGTCACCTGAGAGACGAACGTGTTTCAGTCTCAGTAACTTCAGTAACAGGATGAACGCTCAGCTGCAGAGTTTGTCTCAGTTTTCTGTCTCTGTAAATGTTCAGAGACACAGAAGAAGAATCATCATGTTGCTGATCTAGGACACTACATCTATGATGACAGGTAGATTAGATGTGATGTTAATGATCCTCCGAGGGATTACCGAGCTAATCCAACGACAGATACATGAGAGTTTATCGTTTAGAGATGGTAACTTCACTTCTTTTAAACTGTAATTTTACACCGAGAGGTATTTCTAATATTTCAAAAACACTGAGATCTAAAGAGGAGGGAGGAGACAGTGAGGAGAGGAGATGAGGAGATAGGAAACAAGGAGACTCAAACAAAGAGGGGAGGAGAGGAGCGAAGTTGACCTTTCAGCAGCCGGACAGAGCGAACAGAACGCCGGGGTCGGGCTGAACCGAGCGTGTTTGTAAACAAGTTTGTGTGTGTGTGTGTGTATTCAAGTGTTCTTATTTTTCTGTCTTTGTGTGGACATTTTTTTTAATCTCATTTAGTAAATTTAATGATTTTAAATTTGGTCAAAGTAACAAAAACTTGTTTTCTTTAGAGCGTCTTAATTTCATGAAAGGATGTTGAACAGGAAACGTCGGAGCTGAGGGTTTTTTCTGCTGTATGAAGAGACGAACACCTGCAGGCACGTCGCAGACAAAGTTACACTAGAAGCCACTTACTGCGGCGTTAAAGACTTCCTGTGTGATGAAGAAGTTGAATTATAAACCGGCGCTCCAATATTCCCCTCGGCGCTCATGCCACTCATTTCTCGTTTGCTGTGAACACTTGTAATTAAATCCTTGATATTCCCCAGATGATCTGTATTGGCTGAGTTTCTCCTCAGTGGGCGGGGCCAGAAGGCTACTGTTTGCGTGCACGCCAGCTTCCAGATGGCTGCAGCTTGTTATTTGTGTTTTTTTGACTCTCCTCCTGAGGGGCTCGTGGGAGTCTGCGCTGCTTTCACAGTTCTGACTCTAACTCTCCAGAGCGACAAACTCAACGACACACCAACAGACACACACACACACACACACACACACACACACACTCACAGCTGAGCTCTGGAACAAGCTCCTCCCACTGTGAGCTGTTATCGTTATAAAAGCAGTCTGATATATTTGAGGGATGTTTCTGCAGGTTCACTAAAGAGACATGATTCCAGTGAGGCATCCTGCCAAACCAGTTCAAAGATATCCATCTGAGACTGTGTGAGAGGAGACTTTAAACAGAGATATTATCGATTTAAGTGAGGGATTAAGTTTCTCTAACAGAACGATTCACTTGATAATGAGAGTTTAAATCCATGAGTGAGCGGGACTGAAATACTCGCCGTCATTTCACCCAAGAGGACGGACAGAGAGACACAGAAGAAGAAAAAGGTGTTTCTGTTGAATAAGTGTGTTTCTCTGCGTCCAAAAAAACAGACTTCCAGCCTCACAGATTCACACAGTCCTGATATTAGAGTCTGTTTGTGGCCTGAAGTGTCAGGCCGCTGTGTCGGTCTCTCTGTGAGACGTTCAGCAGGTGTGAACGCCAACACCTGTAACACCTGTAACACCTGATCTCACGTTACGCAGCGACAGACGAGTTTTAAAGGGCCGGCAGATAACAGAGGGCCACACAGCGTGACGCTGACAAACACACAACTGGAACACAGAAATCTGATTACAAGAGTGTGTCTTTAAGTCTAAACTGCAGCATTCCTCACAACAACCACAACAACAACAACAACAACTACGATGACGACAACAACAACAACAATGACAAAAAACACAACCACAATAACATCAACAACAACTACAACAACAGTGACAACAACCACAACAACAACAATGACTACAACTACGACAGTGACAACAACCACAACAACAACCACAACAACCACAACAACAACCACAACAACAACAACAACCACAACATCAACAACAACAGTGACAACTACAACAACGACAGTGACAACAACCACAACAACAACCACAATGACATGACAACGATGAGAACAACAACAAAAACTTCAACAACGACATGACAACCACAATAACAAATATGAAGACTACTACAACAAATCCAACAAGGACAACAACTCCAACAACAACAACTACACAACAACAACTACACAACAAGAACAACAACAGCAGCAACTACCACTACTACTATTACTACAACCTGCTTCATCGAGAAATCACAAAAAAAGTTCCTAAAGACTGTTTTTTTTTAATCGACCGATCAGAACCAGTCCGTGTTGGACGATTAATCAAATTTTAATCATGGTTTTAATTTTGGCTTCTCATGATCATAAAAACGTTATAATTAAAGAAAAACGATTTAATGCGGCTGGAAAAACACCCAGAATGCACCTCTGTTACGTGCTGCAGCAGCAGCGAGCGTGTGACGTGTGCGGATCAATAATATGAGGAGCGAGTGATTGAAAACACGGCAGAAAGGAAGCGTTTGTTTTAGAAGAAAGGTCAACTTCAGTTTTCTGGAAACATTTTCAACTTGAAGGACGTTGAGCAAAAGGAAATTGTTACAAAGTTTGTCACGTTTCCCTTTTTATCGCAGCGCACCGCCACGGTTAAATAAAAGCAGCTCATCTTAAAAATGAGTTTTTTATTTTGAATGTGCGTGGCTCTCCGCTCAGCTGTGTGTCCGTTAAAAACACAGAGGACCTCCTCACTCCTCTAACTCATGATTTCAGATCCAGTTTTTGTCTCACTTGGACTTTTGCTGCTGATTTAAAGTCCGAGTTCACAGACATCCATCATCCTGGACCACAGGGGCTCCAATTACCTCCTATCACCTCCGTCCTGGTGGAGGTCTGCGCTGAAGTCCATTTATCACACAGTTGTGCCGCTTTAATGCAGACACAACATTTCTGAGGTTCGAGCGCTCTCTGAGTCAGGAACTATTCGTGCTCAGACGGGGTCAGGTCCTCCTTTAAAACCTGGTCTAAGAGTCCTCGCTCAGACTCCTGTTCCTGTCGGTGACAGAGTTCGCTCCGGTCTCCAGCTCCTGTTTTTACACCGTACGAGGTGCTGACTGACACTTGTCACCGGCGGAGCGTTCGCCGCCCGGGGTCAGGGTTATTGCTACGATCCATCAAAAGTCTAATCCCCTTACAGGTGAGTCAGAACAGACGGTGACTTCAGATCAGATTAGAGAGAAGATGATTGGGTATATCTGGACCAAACAAGCAGAGCGTATCATTAGAAAGGCTCAGTCTGCTGCAGCGTAATCACTTTCTGTAATATCTTTGGAGGAAAATGCACCACTATGGTATCTGACTTCAACGTCCCCGCAGAGTCTGAGTCAGCAGTCAGACCTGAACGTGTTTGTCTGCGAGTCTCACCCGTGAGGCCCAGCAGGTGAACGGCAGAGTGAAGTGAGAGAGGTTTGAGTCCTGCTGAGTGTTTTACCGAGGTCCTAATGTGGACGTGTTTGTTTCTCTGGTTTTTCACTTTGATATAAAAATAAAGAGTCTGATCAGGTGACTGAAGTTTACACAGGAGACCTCATTCTCCACAAACTCCACACTTCACTGCTGTTATACAACATCACCAAAGACACGCATCTCTGACAGTACGGCTGCACGATTTTGACCAAAAATAAAATCCAGATTTTTTCTCTAAGAAACTCAATTTTTTATTTTTTATCCAGTAACAACTTCACCAAACTTCACTTTAATAAAAAGTTTTTCTATCATCTCTCAAAATAAAACCCCTGAAAATGTTGTAGTGTATAGGCCAAACCAGTAAGTGGCGCTGTAACCCTGCACAGGAAGTGCACAAAAGATAGAAGAAGAGTACAGAGCACGTGTATTAGGGCCCGACCAATTTATGGGTGAGCTGATTAAATCGGCTAATTTTAGCCCGTTTGAGACTTATCGGTTTATCGGCCCATCGGTACTTGAAAACGCTTTTCTGGTCCCAGTTTGATCAGTCGGTCCTCCTGTCGGCAAGAAGTATAATATAAGTATTTTTTATAACTTAATAAAAAAATTGAAAAATTGGCCGATTAATCGTAACTAGATGTTTTTCCCTCCCAATAATCAGTATCGTCATTGGCCCCAAAAAATCCATATCGGTCGGGCCCTCCTGTGTATAAAGGTCGTTTTGGCGCCATAAAAGAGTTACGCTGTGAGTCACATGATCGTTTCCACAGATGCAGATAGACATCCACACAGAGATGAAATGGTCGTCGTTTACAGATTTATTCACTCTCTGACCCGTTTTCAAAAAGTACCGTTTACAGTCACCTGAAACGCCGATACGACAAAAAACTGTAGCGTTTCCTCCTGAATTTGTTTCCATGGTGACGGGTTGATACCGCCTTCAGACAGACTTTACAGCGGGGAGTGGTTTACTCTTCATCTGAAACTGTGAAGTCGTACCAATTCAGCACGACTGACTCGCTCTTGTCCTATTTAACCACGAAATTATCGCCTTCTTTTGCGAACGCCATGTTTGTTTACACTGGTGTGTGTGGGAACTGGGGAGAAGGAGGAGCCTACGTTGGCCTGGAGGAGCGAGACATGATAGAGAGGAAAATCAATTTGAGGATTTTAATTTTTTTAACATTGTCATAATTAAATAATCCGATTAATCGTGCAGCCCTGATCTCTGACGCGACGCTGCATTAATTTAAGAGTACAGGTGAGTTTGACCAACATCCATCACTCCAAACATGAAGATCAGCGCTGCAGCAGGTAAAGTAGGAGACCACCATCATCCACTCATGCAGCTTTTATACCCGACGACAGAAGTTCCTGTAGAGCTTCATCTCTGCGATCTGCAGCTCAGTGATTCCATTATATTTCTAAGCCGAGTGTTCACATCAAAGATGAAGCCCACACAGTCGGAGCCGAGCCCAAGCTTCAGAACTCGGACCATCATGTCAGATACGCCAACTGCTTCCCATCTGTCAGGACGGTAAATGTTCTGTCTGCTGACCCACAGAGGAGCTGAGCGGAGGCCGCCTCTGCACACGTGCAGACGCTCTCCTCTCAGATATGGAGGCTGACATGGATACAGACACGCTTCTCGGTTTGTTCTCGAGTGTGTCAGAAAACTCGTCTCTGCAGGACCAGATAAGAGAGGAGGAGAAGAGCGAGCGTGCGAGTAATTACAGGATGGAGAGTTTCCTTCTCTCAGCTGGAGGGAAAAGCACGACGCTGCACAAAACACCGGGTCAGAGAAACTACAGGGTGCAGTGAGGGTAAAAATATATCCAGGATTTTCCCACAGTGACGCTCAAAGAGGAGCGGCTGATTGATATTTAACTAGAGGGATTAATGTCGGCCAAAAACACGGAGGGCTGGAGACAGAAGACAGAAAAACTTAACGTTTCTGAGTGATGAAGTGTTTTTTTCTGCAGCGACAAAGTTAACGAGAGCTTCAGTGACAGTGATAATCAGGACAGGAAGTGTTGCTGCTACGCCGCTGCGGCCTGAAGACGTTAAAAAGAGAACGGCGCCGCTGAGAACTGCAGGGAACAACAGGAGAGAGAAAGCTCATGATAACAGTTTCCAGCCGCTCATCAGCTGCTGAGCTGAGTCATGAGACTGAAGCCGAGGACCCACGCTGTCATCATGTGGCCGACTCACCTGAGAGTGCGTGTGTGTGTGTGTGTGTGTGTGTGTGTGTGTGTGTGTGTGTGTGTGTGTGTGCGCAGACAGAGGAGGTGAGGAGGAGAGCGCTCTTCTTCTCTGCAGTGATTTTTTCCACAGGCTGCAGAAACTAAATCTGTTTATTTAAAGTCACTTTAACCAGAAACACGTGAAGAAGAGTTTTACCGTTTAAAGTCCTCCGACCTTCAGAGGACGCCGAGTCCACATTTACTGACTTCTTACTGACTGTTTAAAGACTGACTCAGTGATTTTTCCACTTTACTATAAAAACAGGAAAAGCAGACAGCTTTCTATAGCAGTGAAGACAAATCTTTTAGAGCTCCCCCTGGTGACTGCCTGTATTATAACAGATGGAACAAGGTGTAGTGCTGCATTCCAGTTGTACTCGGAAGTCGGAATTTCCGAGCTCCAAGTCAGAAATTCATCTGGAAAACTCTTATAATGTTTTATTTATTCGCACTTCTGTTTTGTCTTTGTGAAATTAAATAAGTGGTTTATGTTGTGCTGACCAACGTCTAACTGTGAACTCAGTGCTATGGTGTTTGTACGAGTCAAATACTGTGTTAGGTGTTAGGTGCTGTTTACAACTGGTTTACCTAACAACAAATAACAGCTAACAAAGCTAAAAACAACTAAAAACACCTAAAATCAGCTAAAAAGAACTAACAACAGCTAACAACAGCTCAGAAAACAACCAACAGCTAAGGAGGGCTAAAAACAGCTAAACTGCTAAAAAGAGCTAAAAACATTTAAAAACAGCTTAACAGCTAAAACAGCTAAAAAAAGATAACAGCTAACAACAGCTCACAACAGCTGAAAACAGCTACAGACGGTTAAGAACAGCTTAATCAGCTAAAAACAGCGTAACAGCTAACAACAGCTGAAAACAGCTAAAAGAGCTAAAAAGAGCTAACAACAGCTAACAACACTTAAAAACAGCGTAACATTTTAACATCAGGCGCCTATCTTGGTTTTCAGACCTGTTTACCGGAACACCATCAACTCTGGGTGTAACGATGCAAGTTTTGAGCTGGAAGTTAATTTACATAAACGTTTTTCCAGGAAGATGGTCGGTAAACAAAACTTCTACAGATGAAGAAAAGGACGAAAAAAGGGAAAAACTTTCCTATCGTACAATAAACGCTAAAGAGCCGTAAAAATGTCGAGTTTTCACTTCATATTTTTAACACGTAGTAGGGAGACGACTGCAATAATTTGACTTCACTATTCTTCCATAAAAGGACTTAAACCCTTGAACACAGACCTCCAGGTTTATAAAACGAACACAGAGCAGCTGACTCTGAACCCCCCCACCCCACAGGTAGCCGTGAATAAAGACAAGAATAAAAACAACTTCAGTTCCTTCCTCGACTTTCTCTGCTCCATGACTCTGCAGATTCACCTAAAAATACTCCCAGCCCTCCTCCTTCGTCACATGGATCCCTCTAAGAAATATCTCAGGAATTCTGGGTACTGTGCCAGACTGGTACCACATTGTGTCGTGCACACTCACATGTTGTGGACCCTCTTTTATGTGCCTCACTTCCTCTTTCTATATCAGGCAGCAGGAAGTCTAAACTCAATCAGGCGTTTACAGCAGAGCCACAGCCCTGAGCGGACCGGCAGCCTGTTTACAGGGACACAAAGGGGGCCTGAACCCAAACAAAGAGGTCCTGATAAGGAGTCACATTTTCATGGTTTCTGGATGTTATAACAGGCGCTTTGATCCTTTGTGTGAGAGTTTTCTTAATGAATCAGCAAACGGAAAACATGGTTATGAAAAGGTTTCCTCTCCGTGTTAGCTCTCGTTAGCATCCTAGCCTCGTTTTTTTCGGAGGTTTTGACCTGATAAAGAGGAACTTTATTTGGACACACGGGTCCAAATCTGTTCTGGTCTTTGTAGGGTTCTTTCTCTCCTGTCATCTTTGTTGATTTTGTCGCATAAAGGAGATAAAAATAGAGAACATGAAGTACAAATGTTGATCGATCACAAATGCAGAACCTGTCCTGTCCTGTAGGGCTGCACGATTAATCCATTTTAAATCCTAATCAGATTATTTGATTATTACCATGTTAAAAAATTAAACGGGTCAAATCAGTTTTCCTCTCTATAGTGTCTAACCCCTCCAGACCAGTGTAAACAAACATGGCGTTTGCGAAAGAAGGCGATAATTTCGTGGTTAAATAGGACAAGAGCGAGTCAGTCGTGTTGAATTGGTACGACTTCACAGTTTCAGATGAAGAGTAAACCACTCCCCGCTGCAAAGTCTGTCTGAAGGCGGTATCAACCCGTCACCACGGAAACTAATTCAGGAGGAAACGCTAAAGTTTTTTGTCGTATCGGCGTTTCAGATGACTGTAAACGTTACTTTTTGAAAACAAGTCAGAGAGTGAATAAATCTGTAAACGACGACCATTTCATCTCCGTGTGGATGTCTGTCTGCATCTCTGGAAACGATCATGTGACACAAAGCGCAACTATAGTGCGAATGTGAATTTCCTGTGCAGCGTTACAGCGCCACTTACTGGCTTGGCACATGTACTACATCGTTTTCAGTGGTTTTATTTTGAGAGACGATAGAAAAACGTTTTATTTTTAAAGTGAAGTTTGGTGAATTTGTCACTGAATAAAGAATAAAAAATAAAAAATCGAGTTTTCCGAGAAAAAAATCTGGATTTTATTTTAGGCTAAAATCGTGCAGCCCTACAGTCAGACTGCTTTACTATCTGTACTTTCAAGGGGATCAAATATCTCGGTCTTCTACCCGCACTGACTTTGTATGCAAACTAGTATACTATAGTTCTTATAAACAAAAACAAAACACACCTGATGGTTAAGTCCGGTTTCAGGCTGTTATCCCTAAAATCATCCCTTAAAAAAACGATTATAGATATTTAGACCGAGGTTATTGAAAGTATTAACCCTGGAGTGACATCTGTATCAAACACATCTACACTTCTTAGAGCTACACAGCTGCACAGAAACTCCACGTTGCTGAATTTATAATGTTTTCATAAAATAAGACAGATCAAACCTCCAAACACAGATCCTCAGACGTGGTTTACGGTCTCAAGTTTACGGTACATTTGCTGTGAGATCCAATGAACCTCCTTCTTACAGCGTTTGTCATGTTTAATTCACAACACCAGATCAGCTTTGTTTTGGGGAAACACAACTTGTGAATGAGACGCTGCATGAATTAGACATCTGCAGAGAAAACCTCGACTCCTGCTAACAGAGCTGATCTCCCCGAACAACAGAACAGAAAAAAGACAAAATACTGAAGAATGGAATCACACCATCGCCGTGAAACGCTCAGTCAAGCTGCTTTAACTGACATGTTTGTTTTCAGCGCGATCCTAAACTGTGATTATTCATCGGCATGAAGGAGGAGGAAGGACGACAGGCCTGTAGAGGACAGAAACCAGGCTGAGTCCGAGGAAAAAACACCCAGAGGGGAAAAAATGCTGCTTCAGGCCTGAGCCGGAGAGAAGCTGCAGGTAGTTAATCCTGACTGTTCATTTCATGCTCGAGTGACAGAGCAGCCGTCCATGTTTCAAAGCCCTCCAAGGCTTGACCCGACACCCTGCAGGGAAAATTAATGACTTCAATAAAAGAGCCGCATTTCCCCGAGACGTTTCCAACACAGAGCTTTATTGAACAAATCTTCATTTGGCTCTGATCAGATCAGCAGAGCTTGTTACTGTACGTCTGGAGAGAAATGAATGAGCCACTTTGAGAACAGTGTGTGTGTGTGTGTGTGTGTGTGTATGTGTGTGTGTGTGTGTAGTTGGATGACTAAGTCCTTTCTACAGGACCTGATCTGTTATAGTTGGCCTTTTCAGACGAGCACCTGTGTTGTTGAAGTCCACCTGAAAGGCTGATGGTGGACGACGGCACGAGTTTGTCGTTGTTGACGATGTTGTTGTTTTTTTTTAGCTTCACCAGATTTGAATTCTTAACGTTTACTTTTTCCCCTTCTTTAAAGAAACCTACAAATGTATATTTGCATCGTTCCTGGTGTGTAAGGTCCTTAGTCCACTTTCTTCTGCTCCTCAGGGTTGGGTCACAGAGGCATCAGTCTCGGCACCTCATCTCCTTCTCCCTAGCAACGCTACCTAGCTCTACCTACAGGATCACAAGGCGGGTCTACTGTGGGGTCTTCTCCCAGTTCCACCACCAAAAGGAGGTGTGGCCTGACTTTGTCCCTACAGCTGAGCCTGGACACCCCTCAGAGGAAAAACGTTCGGCTGTATCATCCCCGAGTTCATGACCACAGCTGAAGGTCTGACCGTAGATCTTGGCTTTGGCTTCACAACGATCACAGTGGTGCTGACGCTGCACCCCTCTGCCTCTCCATCTCAGGATCCATTTTGCCCTCAGTCCTGAATGAGGACACTGAGGTCCTTCCTCACTTGGGTCAAAGAGAAACACGACCTCGGGCTTGGACTTGGTGGATGAATTCATCCTGCCTTTAGCTTCAACAGTCTTCAACAAACTGAACAGCTGACTGGAGTTTCTCTGAGGTCAAACTCCTCATTACTGCTGGCAGCCATCTTGTTCTTGTTCTTGTTGTTCTGGAAAAATCCGCCTGAACCACAAATACGGATAAATCAATGAAAATGCTCAGTCCTAAACAGAAGGACCTTCAATCAGAGGTCATCCGACAAACTCGGTCTAATTCTGGAGGAACTGAAGATCAACTTCTTATCAGAGTCCATCTGAGAAGAAACAGATCCAGATCGGACTATATTCCTATTTCCTGCTGCTCACGGCGCCGTTCCTCGTGGACTGAATCCATCTTTATTTCTGCCATCTCACTCATGCAGCGAGAGTCTGAACCGCTGAGACCACAAACGTAAAACATGACGGCTCGTTCTCCGGGTCCTGAGCAGCTCGCCACGCCTCAGACGAATGAGCTCACAGCCCGGGTTTGGATGAAGGTGTCAGCGGTTTTAAGAACCGGCTCCGCTCATTTCTGAGGTTCTGCCTGCTGGACTGATCCCTGCAGGGCTCTGTGTGTGTGTGTGAGTGTGTGTGTGTCTGATTGTATAGGAGTGTGTCGGTGTTTTGATATCGTAACGACACACGGCTCAATCAGGCCGAAGTCCGTCTTTCATGGCTTTACGTTTGACAGACGGGTGTATGGTGGAGGACTACGTCAGGGTGGAGGTTTGGGGTCCGTGGTGTGACGTAGAGGACTACGTCAGGGTGGAGGTTTGGGGACTGTAACTCTCTGGGACTCCAGGTTAGTTTTAAAACAATAACTGTCATCATTAGTAACCACCGCGTATTAGCCCGCTGCCAGGATGCGGCTGCTTCCTGTGCCACTTCCTGTTTTGTCTCTCCTCGTCTGATTGGTGGGTTCTATTCTTGTTCGTCATGCTGAGTGACACAGAAGCACAAAAGGTCAAAATCTGATCCGATCTTTCACCACCTCGATCTGACACTGATCAAGTCATCCACCATCCAAAGACTCGAACAAGAACAGGATTATTAAAACAGCAGCAGCACCTCTCCGCTCTAAATCAACTATGAGAATCCAACTCTGATTACATCTCAGACTAAAAGGATGATCTATTCGTCTGAGAGGAAAATCGTCATATCATCGGCGTATAAAGAGAATGAAGCGGTCCGGTCTGAGATGAAGATCTGAGGAAGTTAACTGAAGAAAAAGGAAGAAGATGTGAAGGGGAAAACCGAGCCGCCATCTCTTCAGAGCTGAAGACGTTTCTATAAACCAAAATACTTCTCAGAGAGATGAAGTATATTTTTGATCTTCATCCCAAACAAACAGACCGCTCAGTCAGCCGGGTCGAGGCGGCAGCTGGCGGTCAGTCATGCTCAGAGCAGAAACATGAAATCATGAACATTCAGAGATCCGCCAAAAACAAAGAAACAGCAAAGAAAAACGGACCTGAAGATTCTCATTTAAATGAGGTTTGAGACGGTTTATCAAAAAAGAGGAAATGAGAAAACTGAGGAGAAATATCATCAGAACACTGAGAAACACCCCAGAGTTTGGACTCTAATGCTGCCGGGTTAAAATTCAGATGTATTTCTGATGGGTTCCTACGACAAAACCGTCCTTTTTTTCTCATTTTGAATCTTTTTAATAGTATTTTTTATCATGATCTATTTCCAACAGTCAGTAAATATGCTGAGAAACTGTCTGGAGCAGGTTCAGTAAATTAAAAAACAATCATCACACGGCAGTCGAACACTTAGCTGTTACTTTTGTAGTATAAGAGTGAGATAATTTACAAAACATACAAATATTTTAATCTTTTAAAATCTATTTGCATTTCTTAAATTTTAAGTTGTTTCTTTTTTTGTGTTTATAGAAAGAGTTTTGTGCTGATGTGAAACATTTTTATGGTTTGTAAAATGTTGTTGTTGTTAAATAGACGACAAATCTAGTACAACTAATATAAAATGGTCCTTTTATCACTTTTGTTACTTTTATGCTTTTGTGTTTTTATTTCATTTATTTGATTTGATTTTAAATGTTTTTTACCTGCTTTTATTTATTTCTATGATGTTTTCTGCCGTGTTTGTTCTTTTAATGTTATTGTGCAGCACTTAAAATGTGATATAGAAATAAAGTGGATTGGATTCATGGTGTTCGGGGCAAACACGTAACAGACGAAAATAATCATCTGTTTGTCTTATTGATTATAAAATCATTTTATGTCTTTTTAATTTTAAATCATTTGACTCTCCTTTTGATTTTTTTAAATGTATTTCCCCTCATCTGTAAAGCACACTGAATTGCCTTGTGTATGAATATAAACTTGCCTTACCTTAAACATGTTAATTTGTCAAACTAACATGAATGTTAATGGGACTTCTTGCCTTTTCAGACAGCCTCTAGTGGACGCTGGAGGAACTGCGGTTAAAGCCCCTCTGCACCGCTGACCTGATCTTCGCTCACTCCTCCTCCTCCACGCTCCGACACTCAAACAGGTGTTTGGACATTAACGCTTGATTTGTATTGGATGTCATCTATTTTCTCTCTCGCAGTATTGGCACTCAAATTTTTTTCCATCATGGATCATTAAAGTTTCATCTGAGCATCTCCGATACCATCACTGAAGAGTCAATAACTGCAGACTGGAGAGAGAGAGAGAGAGAGAGAGAGAGAGAAAGATCTTTCCCTCTTTGTCCATTTACGATCCAGCGGACAGTCCGTCTCAAATGTCATGTAAATTCACTTTGAGCATCCTCAACCTTTCCCCTAATTCTTTCAGTGAATCCGTCATGTTGAAGTCAGAGCGTCAACAGCAGCGCAAACACAAACATCTGCCTGATCTGAAACTCGGCTGACATGCTGACATGAGGAAGTGTTTCCCTCCTTTAATAGATTAATTTCACAGGTCAGAGAGGCCGGGTCAACAGCTGGCTCGACTTCTGCTTCTGGTGTTTCTCTTCTGAGTCACAAACTCGCCCGGAGAGAGGAGTACGAAAGTCCAAAGTCATGATTTGACAGAGTTCAGTCTGTCTGATGTGAAGCCAGTTCTGTGGGCTCAGCCTACATGAAGTCTGGACTGAGCAGAAAAACACACATCAGCTCATCACTGAGGAGACTGAGAGGAAAAGAGATTATAAGATCAGAAAAACAACAAAAAGTGTCAGATAGTTTCTGAAAAATAAAACTGAAGGACAGAAGAGGAGAAAGAGAAACAAGAGAGGGAGCTGAGGGAGGAAAATATCGATTAAGGAGCTTAAAAAGGAGAAAGAAATGAGAGAGACAGGGAAGGAGAAAAAAGAGAAAAAGATGTGAAAGATGGATGAGGAGGAAAGCCAAGAAAAATAAGTTTTATTTTAGAAAGAGAGAAAAAAAGAGAGGCTGAAAAAGAGGTTAAAAAAAGACTGACTGTGAGAGGAGCATCACGTCCCCGAGAACAGAGGCAGAGACGAGAGGAAATTGATCCTCATAAAAACAAAGAAAGGAGAAAGAAATGGATGGAAAATGAAAGAGAAGAAGAGGAAAGTGGATGGAGGGATGGAGGTTAATGGGAGAGATAGAAAGAGGACAAACAAAGAGAGAGAGAGTGAGATGGTTATCGACCACCTGAAACTGCTCTAATGCAGCCACAGGTGCTGCTGTCTCCACACTGCAGACATCTGTGTGTGTGTCTGTGTGTGTGTGTGTAACAAGGCTGACAGTGTTTACAGTCTGACAGCAGTGACATCATCTAAACCTTTTTAGTGGCGCATTCAGACGCAGTGTCAAATGATCGTCAGTTACACAAACACTCGTACAGAGTTTCTTTTCAAACACCTCGGTCTTCAGAGAGAGAGAGAGAGAGAGAGAGAGAGAGAGAGAGAGAGAGAGAGAGAGAGAGAGAGAGAGAGAGAGAGAGAGAGAGAGAGAGAGAGAGAGAGAGAGAGAGAGAGAGAGAGAGAGAGAGAGAGAGGGAGCCAATACAAAGAAAAATAAAACTGTGTGTGTCAAGTTTTACAGTCGCAGCTCCAGAAACGTTGGCTGCTGTGAACAGAGACGTGATTTTGATGGTTTGGAAATTGTTTAATTTGTGTTTAATTTAAAGTCGTGTAAAGGAAACACAGCAGGTGTTAATAATCAAAAATGTTTAGGGAGAACTTAATAATTTTATATTTGATTCCAGCGACACCGTTTGGAAAAGTTCTTTGCCTAAAAACACCTGGAGGAACATTTTCATACTTGGTCAGAAACATGACGGGGTTTACAGAAGGGCCCGATCGATTTATCGGCAAGCCAATTAAATCAGTCGGGCCCTGGGTTACAGATCGACTTCAGTGAGTCTGTGCAGACGGTCATCAGTATGATCCTCTGAAGGTGTCCCACAGGGCTCTCCTTTAGGACCCATTCTGTTCTCTCTCTATATAAATGACCTGGGTATTAGCACATTAGAGCAAACACACACCTCTATGCTGATGACACTCTCATCGACACACACACCCTCCCTCTGTTGTTATGAAAGCGGTGCAGGAGCCTCACTCTTTATAAACAGCTCTACTTTAATCTGGTTCTGCACGCTCCAGAACAAAAGCTCAGTTATTAGAAAAAACCTTATTGAAGCTACAACTGTGTTTGTTTTTGATTATGGTGATAAACTGGACATACATGAATCCCGGGACTCAGTGAACCGTTCATCTGTTCATTACAAACACTGAACCCTCACTCACCGTGCATTTCATAGCAAATTGAATTTATAATCAATGTCCCAAGATTAATAATTGATAATAATCTTATATCATGACATTTATTATAAATTCAAATCTCTACATGTCATTTTGGTGCCCCGTGTGAGGCATTCGTGATTATTTAGATGATCAGAGATGGAGTCAGTTTAGAGGTAATAAAAACTCTGTCTCTGTTCTTCCAAACGGACCATTTTTAAAGGACCAGAAGTTTAGGTCAACCTCAGGTCGGGTCAGTTGGTCAGTCTGAAAGTCCAAACATGTCTGGAAAGATTTTTATGATCCTGCGTCCTGGGACCGGATAAGGATCCTTTCCTATATTTAGTGAGCTCTGCCTGCCCACGCTGCTCCACTCATACCTGATTTCACTCTCTGTACCCACAAGTCTTTGCTGCTGCTCTCCCCGCCTCAGGTTTTTACTTCCCTGACATCGTCTGACTCTGACTCACCTTTTTAAATTCCTGTCCTGAACATGCAGATTACAATAACGGTGCTAATTGAACACTTATGAGTCCTTACAAGTCTTCAGCTGTGGGGAATTAGAAGCAGCTAATTATTTTCTCATTATGAGTCAATTAATGAAATGATGGAGCTGTAAAAAGACACCTCGTTAATGTCGGGCTGGTTTGGAGGAACAAGACGGAGCAGGGAGGCAAAAACAGACGGCGGGCATGGAGCCAAAAAGGAGCAGAGGTTCAACTTTGAGAGGTTTTTTTGAATCAAACGATCGTCTTCAAACGAGCTTCAGAGGAAAACACAAAAACACCACTAAACATGAAGCTGCACCTACCATCACACTCCTCTGTGTGTGTGTGTGTGTGTGTGTGTGTGTGTGTGGTCAGGTGGTTGGATAAGTGTGTGTGACTGAAACCACTGTCACCTTCTGCAGGTCGTAAGTCCTCCCTCTCATTAGGAGACCAAAATCATGACACCTCTCAGTGTCTCTGGGACAATTATCTCATTATCTCCAGTCATGAGACTCCAGACTGGACAGAGACGGTCTCTTCTCCGTCCATCACACCCGTCTCTGTGTGTGCCTTCAGTTCAGGAGATCGCTGCTCCTGTCAATCATGTAAACTCTCTTAGATTCGGTCAAAGTCCACAGAGTTAACAGAACTTAATCGAACACTTCGCTCTGAGTGGGTGTCAGTAAACACCGGCTGACAAAGCGCCTCATTTTTAAGGTGTGTGATGAAAACAGGACATTTCACCTGTTAACACTGTAGCGGTTCGTCTCTCATTCTGCTGCAGAAACTAAAGACAGCAGACACAGATGTGAGAGCGGAACCATCTCTGGAAAGTAGGCCTGAACGATATATCGTTTGACTATAGTCGATAGACGATAGTCACATCGCAGAGCCTGCGATATTGGAGGTGAATGAACTCATTTAATTTCAAGGGTAACCGACTGAGATACACTCCATGTGACTCTGCATGTGCTGTGCAGCGATCCACCAATCGCCTTCGTCCTTAACTCAGTTGCCAATCAGACTCACTTCTCAGTTGCCAATCAGACTACCCTGCCAGCTGTCAATCAAAATCAGGGAGGAGAAAACCCACCCCTGCACATGTTCTGCACGTGGAGGGAGACGTGTGTCCGCTGAGAATTACTTTCGGAACTTTACTCATGACTATTAAGCCCAACAAATAAGAACTGTATGGGTTTTAAATTGTACATTTCCGTGGACCACTCTACTATAAGCGGTGCGCGTTTTGCGAGGTGCATGCAATTCTCGGAGGACATGCGTGTCTCGGCACAACACCGCTTACAACAACAACAACGATCGCAAAATGAGCAACGAACAAGAGAAAACCACCGAAAATGAAGATTTGTTGCCAAAAAGAAAAGGAAAGTCAGTTATCTGGAATTATTTCGGTTAAAAGAAGGATGATGTCGACCAAAACACGTCTTCTGTGTTCATCTGTTTCCACAATAACGTCCCAGCACAATAAAAGCTAAAAATATCTCTGAGACAGACAGAAGCCGTTCTACTAACATTCACAAAAAGAGGTAAAATCAGAGCAGATTAACTGTCCTCGAGATTTCAGCAGTGCAGTATAACATTAAGTGCTATTCAGGTCAACTGGTGAAAATACTGTATTTTTAATATCGCAATATATATCGCAGGGTTGAAAAAATCGCAATATTATTTTTTTCCAATATCGTGCAGCCTTACTGGAAAGTGGAGCAAAGTCCAGTCCAGAGCAGGTGAGTTTATGTGAAGGTGACCTTTTTGGTTTCATTTCTCTTTGTAATGAATCTGTCATTTCCTTTTCTTACACGTTTCATTATCTCGCAGTATAATTAGATCATGTAACAGAGTGGGTGTTGATGCTCCAGTCGGGCTAACCGTTAGCATCCTTCTCCAACACTGCGGCCTCTCTGAGCCGCCGTAATCACAGTCATTACCACACAGGCTCTTAAGTGCTGCTTATCACACGTCCTCTGGAGAGCCGTGACACCGTCCCTGCTCTCTCTTTCACATTCACCTCCTTCCTCTGAAGCTCCTTCTTTATCCTCTTGTCTTCTATCTACCCATTATCCTGCTTTCATCTCCAACCTTCCTCTCCTTCTCTCCTCTCAGCTGTTCCTTTTTCCCATCTTCCTCCCCTAATCTAATTCTTCTAAAGCATCTATTAGATTTGACGATATTTCCCAGGATAACAGGAAACTTTGACCTCCTGGCAGAGTGAGATGAAAAGTGGTCTGATGTGATTTCATCTCCGAGCTCTGTGGATGCTCATGCTTTGTTTGATTGCAGCTGATTGTAGGAGGATATTCCAGTCTTTCACAAACTTCTTGTTGCTCATATTTGAGTAATCAGACCCCCCCCCACAGTTTAGTAATATCCTCTTCTGTGACTCTAAGTGACTGAGGAGGAGAGCTGATGAGTACGAGCTGATGAGTCAAACTTCACGTGTTTTTTAAAGTTCATGTCAGGACCTGACCTCGGAGGAAAACAGCCAACACAAGAGACGTCTATGTATAAGGGTCAGGGGTCAGTGTGTGTGTGTGTGTGTGTGTAGGGGGGTTGACAGGGAGTATTAGATAAGCACAGCTGGATCTCTCTGGTAACCACAGTCATCTAACAGCTCTGATTATCTGTCCTCAGGGTCAGAACTGAGTCTTGTGATGCCATTATGATCCGCAAGGGAAGTCCGGCTACTTCTTGTTGCTAGGTAACCTTGGACAAAGTTGGTCATGTGATCGCCCAGTTTTTAAAACTCGATTTACTCATCATTATTTCTATAAAAACAATAATAAACTTTGTTTATGGAGCACTTTTTAAAACCAACAGACAGAGTGTTTTACAAGGACAGTCAAATAAAACAAGGTCATAAAATCACAGAGGACATGTACACACTTTAAAAGAGTTCATAAATCTGCTCTGAAATATACAGAAAGTCAACGTAAAAAAACAAGATACGATTGATCATAAAATAATTTCTGTTTCGTTAAAGTTTCTTGACATCTAACTCTGAATTTCTTAACCACACATGGAGCTCAGCATGTCCTGATCTGTCCGTCGTAACAGGAAGGTATAACTGAGTATCATCTGCATAAAAACGAACATTAACACTGTGCTTGTTTCTGACGAACACCAGGGGGAGCATGGATGAAGAAAATAAGACGGGACCTGAAACAGAGCCCTGAGGAACACCAGACTGTCTGTGGTTACACCTCTGTGCTGCTGTCCTCACCGTTCACATACAGACTCTGTGACGTCTGTTGTTGGTGTGTTAAATTTCATGATTCTGAATAAGGAATCAATGAACTAATAATCAGCACTGATAACTGAATTGACCCCCAACCCTAATCTTAAATAGGGTAAATAAATATCCTCTGCGCAGGATACGATCTGTGAGGAGACTGGAGATCCTGCTCAGATCACCAGAGTCAATACAAACAGAACATTTCACAGAAAAGTCCAGGAGAGAGGAGAATTGGTGGAATAATAATAATAATAAAGAGCTTCACATGATCTGATGAGAGGAGGAGGAGGAGGAGATCCTTCAGCAGCTGAGAAGGAGCTGAAGATTCATTACACCGACCGTTCACTGAAAAGACCATTAAGGTCTGCTGAGACGTTTCCCTGCAGCTCCATGAAGCACGATGCTTCCCGGAGATCACAACCTCTCAGACTCTCTTCCTGCCCGAGGGCGCTCATCTGCTCGACCTTTCAATGACGAGATAACACATGGACTCCCAAACATGAGTCTTCAGGGCTCGTCTCTACTCCAGAAATGTGACTGTTAGATGATTCAAAAGTGAGGACAGACCGGTTAGTGTCTCCAAAACTGAACGAGCCGTTTTTAATCTATTCTGGAGTGGATGGATTTCCCTGCTGCACGTCGTTTCTCTCCGTCTTTTCCTGACGTCTGTTTTTAGAAACAGGAAATAATCCTCTCAAGACTTAAATTCAGAGTTTCAGCTCAAACAGTAGCCAGTTCCCCGCTCACGGTCTGCAGCACATCTTTACGGATGTTCACAGCTGCATGATGATAAAGATGAAAAGATTAATTTTATCTATGTGAGGGAGATCAAATTTAACATCAAAAACAAACTATAAATCACGGACAGTGAAGATGCAGCTGAGGGAGCCGTAAACGGAGCGTCTGTCCGGGGGCTTGTGGATATTAGGGGCTGAGTCTGGACCCCCCACCCCACAAAAAGAAGAAGAAGTCAAAGAAAATAAACATATATCCATGTAGGTTATTCATGTTTGACTTGGAGTAAGGATCGTCCTAAGAGACCAGCAGGGAGGACTCTGGGAGAGTCTGAGGGTCAAGAATCCAGATCCTGAGCAAATCTTTAAATGCTGTTAAAAACACAAGAATTTATTCCCTCAGACCGACTGAAACTGGACTTTTAAAAATCATAAATCGCTCTAAATCGAACTCCTCACAGTCGGACTAACATCTGGGGATCAGGAAAAGCGTGGATGTGTAGCTAGGAAACAAACTTTCCAAACAAACGGCGCAGAGCTGAAGAAGTGAGCGTGTTTTTAACATTCATCCTGTTGTTTTCATTTGTAATACACCAACCGGTAACAAGCTAAGAGAGAGCATGTCGCCACCTACTGTAGGGGAGGGGAACATGCTGGAGGTCCAGTAAAATCACCTCATGGAGCTTTAACTGTGAAACAGTGCGTGTAAACTTTCTGAATGTGTCAGAAAATGTGAACACTATAATTTGTCACTATTTCTGAAGAGCTGGATCTGGTTCTGATCCACAGGAACAATGTTCTGGACCCTGCACAGAGCGCCAGTATCATGGGCGGCTGATTTATTTGTCCAATCTCATGATTTATTAATGGTCTGCAGTTGAAACCCCCGCAGCCGCGCACGAGCTCAAGAGCTCTCTGTCCTGTAATGTTTCCACGTACTAAAGCGATGATTTCACTTTACTACGAGTCAAAGAGAGAGAGAGAGAGAGAGAGAGAGAGAGAGAGAGAGGGGAGGCTGACAGACGGAGGAAACAGAGAGACGCAGAGGGACGGCAGGAAAATGAAGAATGTGTGACTGTTGTTACGCAGAATGAGACCTTCCTTTTCTGTTAACGTGAAACTGCAGAGTGTTTCAGACACACCAGGAGAGTTCAACTTCACATCTATGAGGGGATTTAACACACTAAGTTACTAAGAATAATGATCACCTACCCATCAGCTCAGATCAATGCAAGTGAAAACAGAGTCTTAGAAAGATTTACATCTGCAGTCAGCTTGTTAACATTAATGTAAAAACAGTGTTCTGATATTAAACAGCAGGTTTGTGGTTTTGCAGCCTCCCTCTGATCGGCTCTCACTGTTGTGTAACAGTCAAATTGAAGCACACACCGTTTGCAGACAGCAGCATTCCTCCTAACAGCTGTACTCTTCACACACACACACAGTCAGACAGACAGAGGCGCAGGTGTTTTTCCTAAATGCTATAGGCGCGTAAGTACACGTTGTGTAATGACTCTTTAAATACATGTTGTGTATGAAGCGCCTGAGCTCAGACTCCAGCAAACGGAGCTGAATCAGAGCTTTCTATAGCAGGTGACAGTTTCACTCACTGAGCAAAGAGAGTAAAAAAAAAAAGAGCAGATCTGTACTCACATTCAGGATCCTGCAGAGTCCAGAAAAACCACAACACCGAGAGTATTATCCTCCAGAGGAAAAGTTCACTTCATTCAAGCGCCGAGAAGAGCGTCCACAAACACACGCTGCTGCTGGTCTGTCTGCAGAGGCACGGAGAGAGAGAGTGAGTGAGAGAGAGAGAGAGAGGGTGTGAGTGAGCGCGGAGCGACATCAGCCGAGAGAGAGAGAGAGGGAGAGAGAGACAAAGAGAGAGAGAGAGAGTGTGAGTGAGTGAGAGAGTGAGTGAGGGTGTGAGTGAGTGAGCGCGGAGCGACATCAGCCGAGAGAGAGAGAGAGAGAGAGAGAGAGAGAGAGAGAGAGAGAGAGAGAGAGAGAGAGAGTGAGAGAGAGAGAGTGAGGGTGTGAGTGAGCGCGGAGCGACATCAGCCGAGAGAGAGAGAGAGAGGGAGAGAGAGAGAGAGAGAGAGAGAGAGTGAGAGAGTCATGCGCAGTGTTGTGCCAGTCACTGAACAATAGTAACCGGTTACTTGGTAAAAACAATAACTCAGTTAGATCAGGAGGTGACCGTGTATTTAAAGTGGTGGCTCCAACACTGTGGGATAATTTACCTGCTGATATTCGTTCAGCTGTTTCTATTGTCACTTTTAAAGACTCACTTATTTAAACAGATCTTTATCTCCCCTGTTCTAACTCATCCTGTATTAATACCATTGTTTGTTATCGTTCTTTGATTTTACTTGATGTTTATGATTGTATTTTGAATTTTTTACTGTGAAGCACTTTGTGAATCTTTTCTATAAAAGGTGCTATACTAAATAAATTTTACTTACCAACTTCAACCAGAAAAAAATGTGTTACTGAGAAAGTCACTTTTTAGTTCCTGTAAAACGTTCTTTAATGCTTCATTAACATAAAGGTGGACTGATTGAGTTCATTTCAGTTCTGTTCTGATGCTGAATAAAAAATTACAGGGTTTGACTCTGACTTTGTTCACATGTTCTCCTAGGTTGAAAAAGTAAGAAGCACACAAAGAACTTTAGAGGATCAATAAAACTGATCAAATAATGTTTGTCTTATTGATCGACCTTAGTACTGTTATTAGAAACCAATTTTAGGTCTTTTGGTCACATGATGTTGAAGCTATTGAAGGAAAACAGCCTTTTCTGAGAACATCAGCCGGTAATTTATTGACGGTCCCTTATTCAACACCGACGTTGACAGTGAGGGTGTCGAGTAGATTTAACCGCGCTGCTGTTGTCATTCCCGGTTATGGAGAGTGAGAAGACACCGGTAGATCCTCAGAGAATGTCCGTCAGATATCCAACCTGAAACTAACTTCACCGCCGTATTTACAGGAAAATATATCCAACCTGAAACTAACTTCACCGCCGTATTTACAGGAAAATATATCCAACCTAAAACTAACTTCACCGCCGTATTTACAGGAGAATATATCAACCTGAAACTAACTTCACCGCCGTATATACAGGAAAATATATCCAACCTAAAACTAACTTCACCGTCTTATTTACAGGAAAATATATCCAACCTAAAACTAACTTCACCGCCGTAGTTACAGGAAAATATAGCCAACCTAAAACTAACTTCACCGTCGTATTTATATGATCCGTGGAGCACAAACACAAACTTTGACACTAACACAAACACTGAATAAACACTGAAACATACCGTGTTGTTGTTTAATCAGGCTGTTCCTGGCTCTGGGTCCGTTTTTAACTCCTTCTGCTCCTCTCTGGGTGGAGGTGAAGTTGGTTTGTGTTTCTACTCTGACTCTCGGGTTCTGCGTTAGCCTTAGCTAGCTTAGCCGCTAACTTCGTCGATGAATGCCGCTCCTCTCGGTGTTTCGGCGGATTTCTGTTGATGTTTGTACCGTTTAAAGGATTTCTGACCCGACGGGACAAAGTTTACATGTTAACTAAATACTGTTTTTCCCTTTGTTCTCCAGTTGACAAAAATGTGAGTGTATCCATGAGGGGAAACTTCTCTTCTCTCTCATCATCGCACCGTTCCCATAGATATATAAACTCTAGATGGCACACGCTACCCTCTTTGCGCCCCTGCTGGACAGAGTAGGTCACTGCATGACAGATCCGCAACCTGAAACACGTGACTGCCTCTTCTTCCTGCTTTTTTCTAGAAAGTTACCGGCTTGAATGGAGCGACATCAATGGAACAAAAGGTATTTTAGCGCCTGCCTTGTCTAAATATAAGACAAGCGCTAAAATAACTTTCATAGATGTAGCCATCTTGTTTCAGGCCTCCAATTCTGCTTTTTTCCGACTCAGTAACTCAGACGCTGGTAAAATCGGAGGCCTGAAACAAGATGGCTACATCTACGAAAGTTATCTTAACGATCGCCCTATATTCGGACAAGGCAAGCGCTAAAATAACGTTCGTAGATGTAGCCATCTTGTTTCAGGCCTCCCTCTTTGTTTTTTTCTGACTTTGTAACTGAAACGCTGGGAACTCAGGTGTGACGTAATTTTCAGCTCTGACTTCTGACTTCCAAGGAAACTTTGACGCAGCATCAGTTACTGATTAAAGTTACAGCGTTACTAATAATGCGCATAAAACCAACTCTAACGGCGTCTGAATCATTTTCTTGGACCATTAATGCTGGAAATGAACATTTAATGACTTTAATTTTGCCTTTTTCCGTTGAGCACATTCACTGTAAAGTAAAATAACACCGTCTAACATCCTAACACGGATTGTTCCTGCTAAAATGAAGTGATTTGACTCACCGGCTCACCTCTGTCTCTGTCCAATCGTTTATCTTTGTGGTTTGTATCAGTGACAGCAGAACGCCAACAGTGTTTGTGTGAATGTTGGCGTATAAAGGTCAGCAGGCGCTCTCTGACAGAACACATCAGTCTCTCTGCAGAGCTGGTGCTGTTCAGCCTCATAAACACTTCTGTTCAAATACAAATATTAAAGTCCAGATGAAACTTTAAATAAATAACAAACTCTTTTTTATTTAAATTTTAATATATTCAGGAGTGAGATAAGCAGTAGCAGCAGAGATCATTTCTGACAGAGCAGATTTACAAACAGAAGTAAGAGTCTAAAACAAACTTCTGTATAATCTACTTGATGTGATTGATTGGTGTTACTTTGTGAGTATCATAAACATTATCGGCTATAAGCTGAAGTCGCTCGGCTCATAAATCCTCCGTCATTAATTCACAGTCAGGTTAAATGTCCACTCAGTAAATATTAAATGCAAATGCTCATGGGATGTGATCGTGCAGAAACAGTCACTGCTTTTAAATCACGTCTTAAAAATCATTTTTATTGACTTGTTTTTATGTGATTTTGTCGTCTTTTAAACCTTTTACTTCTTCTTATTTGTGTTTTATAACCGTCCCTTTGGTCTCAGGTTTTGGTGATTGGGTTCCTGTGTTGGCCCGGTATCACATATAATATCTTTATTTTAATGTCCTCTCAGCTCAGGTGACATTCATCAAAGCTTTTATGTCTTCCACTAATCTGTATTTTATTTTATTTCTTTATTGCCACTAACGTGTCGTTTGTTCTCTTGTTGCTGTTGTCGTCCTCCTCTCTGTTTCCTGCATGTTAAAGCACTTTGTGAGCTCTTGTTTTTAAAAGTGCTTTATAAATCAAGTTATTATTATTATTATTAAACAGCTAAGGAATAAGTCAGTGAGTCTGAATATCTGAGTACAGGTGTGTTCAGCTGATATCTCTGCTGTTCTGCACATCATCCTTCTCCGTCAGAAGCAGAATTATATCTGCACCAACAGTTTGATGTGGACAGCCTCTGCTGACAGACGGCGTCCTGTCCGTCTGAGATCTGGAGGCGGAGGACGGTGGTGCCGTTTCTATGGAGAATCAGAAAGTGCTGTCTGTGACTTCCTGCCTTTTCCTCAGACTGCTTTGTGTTGGACGAGGGCGACTCTGTGAGAAACGTGGAGGAGGTGAACGGTCGGTGTGTGAGCAGATTCACTCTCTGCTGTTGAACTCAGACGTGTCTGGATGAATCGTCGCAGAGCCTGTGTCCTCTTCACCTTTGTTCTCCTTTAAGCGCTCGTCCTCTCGGGTCTGTAGGTGTCTGTCTGAGTGTGTGTACTCTGATATAAACCTACAGGACTCTGCAGTGGGAGCAGACTGGCGCTCCGATTGCAGACTCCACCTCTGCAGGAGTTTCTGTGTTTACAGGCGAAGGTTTTTAAGGAAGCCAGGCGTGTTGGTGTAAAACGCCTCCCAGCAGTCGACTCATTATGTCCCATTAAAAGACATTACGACTCCTTCCAGCTCATTGACTCTGTGGTTTTGAGGAAAATCGAGCAGCTTGAGCCGCTGAGTGACTCTGACTTACAGCTTTGAGGCCTTTCTTTAAGTTCTGTTTATTTAGCTGAGCCCACTGTTTTTCCTACGCCTCATGTCTTCACTAACTGTAAACGTTTCAAGATGCGCTGAAAACCTTTATGGCAGACCGACTGGGTGGGTTTTTTACCCAGCGGGGCGTAATTACGCTCTAAACACTCCGCAGAAATCAGCGGAGGGAGAAATGAGAGGGAAAACTGGGGTAAGGGTGGTCGCTGTATAGATTTGTCTTTTAGAGATGATGAACAAAGAAGATTTTAAAGATGTTCCTAATGGTCAAATTTCTCTCCTGAGAGCAGAGCTGTCCTGTCATTGGTGCAGAGGACGTTCAAGGTAGAAGGACGTGTTTTTATTGAGCCAAATTATCAATAAAATCATGATTTTGTTAACAGGTATGGATATATGTGCTGTCGAGTTAATATATTTGAACAAGAGCACAGTAAAGTTAAATCAGCTAATTTTCCAATGAGGTTCTGTTACTGAACGGAACTAAACTATGATCTACTGAGGTTAGTACATATAGGGTCACAGACATAGTACTAGACACCAAACATCATTTTAACTTTGACTCTTTTCTTTAGAGACTAAACACAACTCACCTACTCTCTTCCAGCAGACGCTTGTTTGTAGCGAGACCTCAGGCCAGTCCATTACAGACTACAGCGGGGTGCCGCAGCTCAAGGAAGAACATTTATACATTGAGCATTATTTGTGGCTATAGAGTGGCGTTTTGGTTGGGGGCGTGGCTCTCTGTATTTCTATCCTGCGGTCGACAACATTCATCTCTGGAGGGG